CTTTATAGGTTAGGTTAGGTTAGGTAGCGGTAAAAGTTAGGTTAGGTTAGGTAGGTTAGGTTGCCGAAAAACAATTAATTCATGAAAACTTGGCTTATTAGGCAAATCGGGCCTTGCATAGTAGGCCGAGAAGTGCGTTCTGGCTGCTAGGTACGACATATATATATATATATATATATATATATATATATATATATATATATATATATATATATATATATATATATATATATATATATATACAAAAGACAATACAAAATGGTGAATGCCTTTGAAGTTATGCAGTTGAGAGTGAGTGAGTGCCTGCACGCATGCCTGCGAGTGGGAAGGGGGGTTACCAAGGTCATGACCCCCCTTCTCAGGGAGGCAAGTGCATGGTGCAAGGGGGAGGGGCGCCCCCCATAACTCTTACAGACACTGCACTAGTCTTGTGGGCTCGTTATGCCTCGCTCTTTCCATCATACTTACTGTGATTTATAGCTGTCTGTCTCCTTAATGTCTCCCTCACTCCTTCTACAACACCCCTTCCCTTGTCCTCCCTGCCCCCCCCCCCTCCTTGTACTCAACTAGCAAGATGGCGCCCACTACACACCCTCCGCGTCTAACACATGAGTATGGAAGTGCACAATAAACTAGGCGCCTCCGGTGGCAAGTCATAATGATAATTTCTCACTTGCCTCCACCTTGTCTCTAGTGCTTGTCTGATCTTATGCTCGAGTGGTGGTGTTGGTGTTCGTCTTTATCTCAAGACACTATTTGTCCCATGTAGGTGGTAGGCCTCTCTCCCTTGTTGTCAGGGAGCGTGTAGGTGCTGTATTCATCTAGTTGTATTCACCTAGTTGTTCTTGCGAGGGTGGAGCTCTGCTGTTTCGGCCCGCCTCTCAACTATCAATCAATCAACTGTAACTATTAACTAAATTTTGTTCCCTTCCCCCCCCCCTCACACACATAGGAAGCAGCTCCGTAACAGCTGTCTAACTCCCAGGTACCTATTTACTGCTAGATAACAGGGGGCATCAGGCGAAAGAATCTTTGCCCATTTGTTTCTTCCTGGTCCGGGAATCGAACCTGGGCACAGAATTACAAGTCCTGCGTACTGTCCTCTCAGCTACAAGACCCTCATGCAGGTGGTAGGCCTCTTCCTTGCTCTGAGAGCATGTAGTGTAATTGGGTCTTGTTACAGTAATCACAACAATTAGTTCACAATCGAAAAGTTCGGGATTCGCTTCCTTCAATATGGCAAGAGATGTTTTGCCATTATTTCTTGTCACCTGATACCTCTGTTTACCTACCAGAATATAGGTACCCGGGGGTTAGGGAACTCTGATGGGACCTTCCTGGAGAAGATCAACAGTTAACCTTAGGGGAGACCTCGATAAATCTTGGTTTATTGTGGTTTGTAAATTGATTGTAAATTAACCACAATTGATTGTGATTTGTAAATGATAAACCTTCCAGTCCCCGAGAAAGGAAAACACATCCTAGTGCAGTAACAGGAGAAAGTACTACTCTGGAGAAAGTAAAACGTTTAGGGCCAAGAATCCTCCCAGAACTGACTCTGGGATGTCAGAGCTGACAACTCAAGACTCTCATGGCAGGAACGGCTGAGGGCTTCAGGACTGACACCACATCAAACCAGACATGATAGGGCTGATCTCATTGAAACAGCTAAACAAATGGAACATCCATTCCATGATGTTCCAAATCCAGAGAAATCCAGAGAATTTCTTCAAGAGGTCCGATGTAACACATACAAGGAGCAACAGCTTCAACAAGCCACAATATCTAACAAAACAGAAAATTCTTTTCGACCACACAGTTATAAACCCATGGAACCGCCTACCCACCGAAGCCGTAAATACCAAACCATTACTGCAGTTCAAAATCAAACTAGGAAAAATATGAGGACAAATGGGGGAACTATGACAAGCGGCCGGCTTCTTGTCCCCGTCGTGGCCACGAGATTGTGGCCCTCAGGTAAATTATATATTATATATTATACATATATTGTCCTAATATTATACATATATATTGTTCATATACATTGGCCAGCCCGCTCTCTCTCGGATCTATATTCTGAATAAATTAAACTTTTGCTTAACCAGAAACGTACAAACCCAAGCAACCCACTTAACCTATTAAAGCCCATGCGTTGAAAACGTCAATATTGCGGTGCTTTGGTTGTAAATAGAACACAAGGTTATATAGTGACACCGGAATACAATAGACCGGCTGTCATCCACTCCACGTCTGGATGACAATCTGTGCATTGTATTATAGCCATGTAGTCGGTTGTATTATAGCCATGTAGTCGGTTGTATTATAGCCATGTAGTCGGAATGGCTTATTGCTGCTTTCTCCTGATAGTTCCCTTCCCTTGCACGTCTGCAACTACGGCAACAAATATCGTCACTTAGGCCTACAGCATAACAAAAACATACTTGTCATAAAATATGAGATTATAGCCTACTGGCGTACGGGCAGGCAAGCGACGGACCCCATATTGTCAACACCTCCAACGCTGGTTATGTAGATCAGATGTATATCTGTGCCTTTATGTACGTAGGTTAGATTAAAAACACTACAATCACCTTCTGTGGTTAATTGTTCAATAAATCCCTGAACTATATGCTTAACACATCTCTCACCCTGTCCAAGAAGGACAGAAGAAAACTTATATATGCTGATTAGCATTGTAAATATGTGGCCACGTCTGTGGTAGATAATAATAATAATAATAATAATAATAATAATAATAATAATAATAATAATAATAATAATAATAATAATTCAAAAATAATAAAAAAAATACCTCCAGTGGCTGGTCACCTGACACCACCTACAGCTCTGAACCATCACACAGATGAACAGCCTCGTACCGTTGACACGTCAACAAGCCTCCCTGTAGTTCAGTTGGGTTCCCTTCTCGACTCATAATCGGGAATTCCAGGTTGGAATCCTTGACGGGTGAGGAACGGTTGGGTACGTTTCCTATCACCTAATGCACCTGTTCACCAAGCAGTAAGTAGATACTCAAGAGTTAGTCAGCCTGTTGTGGGGTTGCATCCTGGGGGAGGGTCAGTAAGGGGGGGACCATGATGGGGGACCTCAATACACTATGAGTGTGGCGGACGAGTAGAAGTATGTAGGAATACTTACCGGGGCCCGGGGCACACGCCTATCCTATGGTTCCCTGTTTGAGGACGGCCTGACGAACATCACTAAGGCGCCACTCAAACCCCAACAGAGGCTAAAACACCACCTAATTCCCCAAGATGAACCACCGGCTTGTTCTCGGACGCGTGTTTAAGACGGAATTAGCGAGGCTTAACCGGCGGCTACGGCATGCCATTCGTGGCTGGCTGCGGCTGCCTCGTGATACTCCTAATGCCTATTTTCATGCCGACGTGAAGGACGGTGGACTAGGAATTCCCGACTTTGCTGCATCAATCTGTCTACAGAAGAACAAGCGGCTCGGGGTTTTGGTAGAGTCGGAGGATCCAGTGATAGTGGCAGCGGCTCTCCTACCCGCGTTCCAAGCGCGAATGGGTCGATGGGTAGACCCGACCACGGCCGCCGGAACCCCTTCTAACAGAACGACTGAGCGCTCTATAAGGTGGAAAGCAAAACTGTATAGCATGGTTGATGGTGCCCGCCTTGCGTCCTCTTGTGAGGTTCCATCTTCCCACAAGTGGGTCGCATCCGGTACCCGTCTGCTAAGCGGAGATTTTACTCATGCCATCCAGATTAGGGTAAACGCTGGGGTAGACCCGAGGCTTCTGGTCTCTGCGATGCTTGTCAGAAACCAGGGACCCTGGGCCACATATCCCAGGCATGCCACAAGACACACGGGGCTCGGGTGAAACGTCATGGCGATATCACCCCGTTCGTAGCCGGCCGCCTGCGGCAAAGAGGTTTTGAGGTGGAACGTGAAGTCCGTATACCGGATGGAGGGACCTGTTAGCCTGACATCATAGCTTGCAAAGGTGATGAGGCCTTCATATTAGACACCCAGGTCTCTGCTGATAACTTCCCACTCTCCCGTCCACATCAGAGCAAGTGCGACAAGTACGGCACCCCCAGAGATCCTTCAAAAGGTCAGGAAATATACTGGGAAACACACAGCATCCACCTCTTCAATAACCCTTAATTGGAGAAGAGGATGGTGCAAGGAGAGTGCGCGTGGTCTACAGGATATGGGACTCACCAAGAGCGACCTTGAGATTTGCTCTGTGAAGGCCCTGACCTGGACATATTCCATCTACAGAATATGGTCCAAGACCACATCTAGGGGCAGACCACCTTAGTCCCAGGATCACCGTGCACAGGGTGCATAAGGGTCAATATAGTCTTGCTTAGGTGAACCGCAGCCAGGATAGCTAGCAGCCAACTATCTAAGCAGAGTCGTCATCTGGAGTACCACTTCTCCAAATGGTGTCTCACAAGAGGGTGGATGACCTGGCCGGAGCCCACGAGTGGATAAGGCGGCGGCCAGAGGGACCCCCATGTGCATATATGATATCCCTCCCGCTCTGGGGCCTTGTTAGGAGCTTCCACTATGAAGAGTTTTTTTCCATGTATGCCGATGTCAAGTCACCAATCCTGCCGCTTAGGCAACTTGTTGTTTTGCCTTCATTGTTGTTGTTATAGATTCAGCTACTTGGAACAAGTTCCAAGTAGCACAGGCTATGGTGAGCCCGTAACATACCTGGCACAGGAGCGGTGCTGTGTTTGCCTTCAGCTTGAGTTCTTTTTTAATGATATACTGTGCACCTCTCCCTTTGTGTGCCGTGTCCCATATAAGAAAAACGAAATACAAAAGAATCTTCTATTTTGTGTATGTTATTTTCATGGTATTATTGTGTGTTATTATCATCATCTTAACTCTTGTGTGACAAGGGGAGTTAGGGGACACTATAAGGTCCCTCAGCCTGGTAACAGGAGTGGTGGTTCCTGTACTCACAAATGTAAACAAAACGAAAAAACTACTTTAGTCTCACTTGGTTATTGCGGAGATCAACGTGACCCTTCCTCCCTCAGGGGCGGGGGTCAGCGCCTCACAGCTCCAGGGGCTTCACACGGGCGGTGAGGCACTCGCTGCTGCTTCCCACACGAGGGTCATGCCAGCTACAACAGTCTGGATGATCACTAGAGTGCCCGGGGCAGCAGGAGTGGAGGTCGAGGCACTTAACATTGGAGGGCACAAGTTGTTACTGCTTTACCCACCGGCGTTGTGGACGGTGGCAGTGCCAATATCTAAGCACGTGACAGGTGGGCGTGGCCAGTGCCAACACGTGACAGGAGGATGCAGTGTCAACACGTTAAGTGGGTTTGACCAGTGCCAACACGTGTCAAGTGGGTTTGACCAGTGCCAACACGTGTCAAGTGGGTTTGACCAGTGCCAACACGTGTCAAGTGGGTTTGACCAGTGCCAACACGTGTCAAGTGGGTTTGACCAGTGCCAATGTGTCAAGTGAGTTTGACCAGTGTCAACACGTGTCAAGTGAGTTTGACCAGTGCCAATGTGTCAAGTGAGTTTGACCAGTGCCAACACGTGTCAAGTGAGTTTGACCAGTGCCAATGTGTCAAGTGAGTTTGACCAGTGCCAACACGCGTCAAGTGAGTTTGACCAGTGCCAACACGTGACAGGAGGATGCAGTGCCAACACGTGACAGGAGGATGCAGTGCCAACACGTGACAGGAGGATGCAGTGTCAACACGTGTCAGTTTGGTACAGCGGGTTTAAACACGTGTCAGGTGGGTGTGGCGAGTGCCAACACGTGTCAGGTGGGTTTGACCAGTGCCAACACGTGTCAGGTGGGTTTGACCAGTGCCAACACGTGTCAGGTGGGTTTGACCAGTGCCAACACTTGTCAGGTGGGTTTGACCAGTGCCAACACGTGTCAAGTGGATGCATTCAGTGCGAACGTGTCAAGTGGGTTTGATCAGTGCCAACACGTGTCAAGTGGGTTTGACCATTGCCAACACGTGTCAGGTGGGTTTGACCAGTGCCAACACGTGTCAGGTGGGTTTGACCAGTGCCAACACGTGTCAGGTGGGTTTGACCAGTGCCAACACGTGTCAGGTGGGTTTGACCAATACCAACACGTGTCAGGCGGGTGTAATGGGTGCCAAAACGTGCCGGGTGCCAGACACAGGGAGCGCCACACACAGGTGCGCACCAGACCACTGCACTACGGCAACTGCCTCCGCCAAGCATCGGCCAGTGACGTTGCGCATTGTTGCCACACGCCACTTCCTCTCTCGTTTAACATAATACTTTTATGTGGACTCTCCTAACTGCCCACATAAAACACATACATCTCATTATTAACCCACCTCATTATTTTAACATATTTTCTATACATAAACATAGTTTTAATTAACGGTTTGTACAGTTGTAGGAAATATTTATATTAGTAACTGGTAACTTTGGGCAATGATCGACACAGGTTCAGCGAGAGAGCAAATGTGTTTCTTAAGCGCTAGTGACATAAGGTTCACAATTGCCTGCTATTCGCTTGTCACGTAAGAGGTGGCAGGCGAGGCTGCCGAAGCCTAAACTTACTTGTGTGGAGGCCTTGTGCTTGTGGTGGGCGGCCTCACACCACCTTGTGCTTGTGGTGGGCGACCACACACCACATTGTGCTTGTGGTGGGCGACCTCACACCACCTTGTGCTTGTGGTGGGCGACCTCACACCACCTTGTGCTTGTGGTGGGCGACCTCACACCACCTTGTGCTGGGCGACCACACACCACCTTGTGCTTGTGGTGGGCGACCACACACCACCTTGTGCTTGTGGTGGGCGACCACACACCACCTTGTGCTTGTGGTGGGCGACCACACACCACCTTGTGCTTGTGGTGGGCGACCACACACCACCTTGTGCTTGTGGTGGGCGACCACACACCACCTTGTGCTTGTGGTGGGCGACCACACACCACCTTGTGCTTGTGGTGGGCGACCACACACCACCTTGTGCTTGTGGTGGGCGACCTCACACCACCTTGTGCTTGTGGTGGGCGACCTCACACCACCTTGTGCTTGTGGTGGGCGACCTCACACCACCTTGTGCTTGTGGTGGGCGACCTCACACCACCTTGTGCTTGTGGTGGGCGGCCACACCACCTTGTGCTTGTGGTGGGCGGCCACACCACCTTGTGGTGGGCGGCCACACCACCTTGTGCTTGTGGTGGGCGACCACACACCACCTTGTGCTTGTGGTGGGCGACCTCACACCACCTTGTGCTTGTGGCGGGCGACCTCACACCACCTTGTGCTTGTGGTGGGCGACCACACACCACCTTGTGCTTGTGGTGGGCGACCTCACACCACCTTGTGCTTGTGGCGGGCGACCTCACACCACCTTGTGCTTGTGGTGGGCGGCCTCACACCACCTTGTATCGTCGCCTTTCGCTCGTATGGCGAAAAATGGACGTAATTTGAGATGAAATCGGTTCACGAAAGTGATGTACTGTCTGTTTTCTATTTGGGTCCTCCAGCTTAGTCTGTTAGGTTAGGAGAGGAAACTTTCAATTAACGGTTTTCCATGACGTTTTGAAACCTTAGGAGAACTTCCTGCCCTCCTAACCTACCAGAGAACCCTTAGCCTACTGTTTTGGGAAAAAAAAATCCAAATTTTAAATTTTTGTTTTCACTTTCATATTACGTTCATTTTCGGCCATACGGGCAAACGGCCAAATTCAAACGTAATTTGAATTCAAAACGAATCAAATTCAAAACGTAATTAATTTCTGCCCGAAACGCCGCGCGTACTAGTGGCTTTACAAGAATGTTATTACTATGCTATGTATCCTCACAATCCCAATGTACCTTCTTGTATATATATAAATAAATCAAAATAAATAAATTTGTAAAGACTATTTGTAAGAAGACAGGTTGCAACTAGGCTTCAGTTACTTCATCGGTTCCATCATGTATTCTGAGGCTAATATTGAATGGGATCCATATTTGACACACTGCATCATTGACAATGTTATATGCCTTCCTTCAGACAATACACACATTACAATTATATTTAAATAAATAAGCAATTATAAATATTTTTTATAAACCAGTCAATAAATAAATACATTTTTAACCAGGAGTTCTTACATTCTTGTAAAGCCACTAGCATGCACAGCGTCCAGGCAGGTCCTTAATCCTAATTTTCCCCGAATACGACCCGCCAGTCGGTAAGTAATTAAGTATTTTAGTAATTAAATTGGTAATTAATTAATCAGTAAGTAATTAATCAGTCACTCCATTATCCTGCACACTGCTTCCTTATCTCCCCTAACCCCGACTCCCTCCTTATCGCCTGAGCCTCAGTTTCCTATCCATTCCATATTTCCTCCCTACTCCTCTCTTCCTTACTACTACTACCTTTCTCACCAACAGTTGAATACCATCACTAATAGATGAGATTTAGAGAGGATCACAGATATGTTACAGAGACGGTGAAAAGCTGAATAGTATGCCAGAATCAGGTGTTACAATGATTACAATGTTACATGTGGTTGATTTGACATGCTAAATCAACATATTTAGGCGTTACAATGAACAGCACTTGATATTACAGTGGCGAGTAGAACAACATTCCAATACATACGAGGACAGCACCGGGTGTTTCACCAAGCTGTGGGTGTTCAAACTTGTACGTTGCTACAGCAGGCGAGAGACGGGCAGCAGGCGAGAGACGGGCAGCAGGCAAGAGACGGGCAGCAGGCAAGAGACGGGCAGCAGGCAAGAGACGGGCAGCAGGCAAGAGACGGGCAGCAGGCAAGAGACGGGCAACAGGCAAGAGACGGGCAGCAGGCAAGAGACGGGCAGCAGGCAAGAGACGGGCAGCAGGCAAGAGACGGGCAGCAGGCAAGAGACGGGCAGCAGGCATGAGACGGGCAGCAGGCAAGAGACGGGCAGCAGGCATGAGACGGGCAGCAGGCAAGAGACGGGCAGCAGGCAAGAGACGGGCAGCAGGCAAGAGACAGGCAGCAGGCAAGAGACGGGCAGCAGGCAAGAGACGGGCAGCAGGCAAGAGACGGGCAGCAGGCAAGGGACGGGCAGCAGGCAAGAGACGGGCAGCAGGCAAGGGACAGGCAGCAGGCAAGAGACGGGCAGCAGGCAAGAGACGGGCAGCAAACGTTACTCTGCACATTTATGATAATGGCACAAAAGAACACCCGCATTTTTTAAGGCAATACAATAACACATACAAAACAGGATGCAAATAACTTAACCCAAACAGCTTTTCTCATTTATTGACAATTTTTCCGTCACACATACAAATACACTGTAATGATTTAAATGTTAAACATAACTCTTGCATTTTTATTTCAAATTCTGTTTAATAAACATTTTAATGTTAAATGTTTTGCACACATTCCTTCGAATATTCAATAAAGGAAATTCCAAAATATGACAAGTCACGATGCTAAAACGTGGCGCATCAACCATATATGCTTGTGGGTATTAATGCATTAATTACGAGTCTATACATGTTGCATATAAAATCCAACACTACATTTTGCGACCTATTCAAAATCTACTTTAATCTTCATGCAGTTTCCCCACACGTAAAGCTCAGTCATGATAATAAGATCAGCATCAGACGTATGCTTACATCCTTGAGGCTTTACCAGTCTCTTCCTCTCGAAAACAATATTCTATATATGCCTTCCCCACCATTCTAATTTATTTTTGTACGTCATTAATATATTCAAAGACAACTGTGAACTTGCTTAGCAATACTATTAATAGAAAGTAGATGTTTTAAATTAGTTCATCAATGAAAATATTACAACTTGAAAATAAAATTGGCACTAAGATAAGGATGTCAAATATAATTGCTTATCTTTTTCCATTCCGTCAACGTCGAACGCGACCATCCCAACTTCTCTCTCACTGTCTGGAACAATAAATCAAGTTGGCATATGCAAGAAAGAAAAGCTGAATACATTAAGCAATCAACAAACTACTGAATAGAAGCCTCAGGTAAGTCTGATTTCTCTCTCCCCCCCCCCCCCATTGATAAAGTAGAGATGGAGCAACATCCCACACTGCTCCACCATTATGATAGATATCGTGAGGAGACATTCACATATGGGACTAATATGGACACATATGGAACAAGAACCCGGCAATGTGATGTTATAGTGGCCAGAATACGCCTGAGATATAGACGTATCTGGCAGCTTTCTCAAAACCCAAATGTCGAGTACACAATGTGTCAACTTTGTGAAAGAGAAAACGTGCACTCTCTTGAACATTATATTGTAGAATGTCCCATATTAACTGACTTTCGCCCTCCTGGGCTGAGGTATGCTGAACTTTGTAATTACTATACGAGTACTGGAGCTCTTGATATATTGGACTTGTACCCAAGATTGACCATGTAATGTATCAATTATGCAATGTATGTATGTGATGTAACTATATAACCTGAGCTTGTAAAAGCACCTTAATCGACTTCAGTGATTAAGTGCTTAATTGCACACTAGTTTCTCTGTCAGCTATCTCACCCTGTCAGAGTAAAAGAGACAAATGTATGTGAATGCATGTGTGTATATATGCATGTATATGTGTGTGTATATATGCATGTATATATGTGTGTGTATATATATGTATGTGTATAAAGTACATATGGAAGCTGATCAGAATTGCATTTCATCTTTGTAAATGCACATTAATGACACTTCGATCACTTTATATAGGGCATACGTAAATCTGTGTATCTATGTATTTACGTATGTAGGTTAGCTTAGCATTTTAAAAGTGCCGAATCACCTGTGGTTGATTGTTCAATAAATCCCTGAACTATATGTTTAACTGATCTCTAACCCTGTCCATGGGGGACAGAAGAAAATGTATATATGCTGGTTAGCACTGTAAATGTGTGGCCACGTCTGTGGTAGAAAATAATAATAATAAAAAAAAACTTATATTTTTCTCTAAGCGTATGCGGAGATTGGAGACCCGGTTTACCTCACTCAGTACAGGGCTGAGTGAGGGACTCTTGCCGTAAATGACTGAGTTACGCCTCTAAAGTGGACAGCAGCACAGGATAGTAGAGTAGTAGTAAGGAGTAAACTCAGTGGGCTGCGGCCACATTAGCCACAGTTTGAGCAAGCCAAGCTGAGAGCCATTGAGACCGTAGAGCCGAGTTGTAGCTCGTTATGACCAGGGTTGGTCTTTTCATTACAAAACAAGGGTTATTTGCATATAACAAAAGAGTATAGATTTGAGCGTGAGACCGGTAGCCTGCAGAGCTGCCTGAGTATGATGAATGTGTAAGAAGTGAGCTACTGGCTGGCTTGAAGAGAGAATTTGGTATTTTAATTAAGTATGAAAACAGCCAGTAGATTATATCATTTGTAAATTGTTTTGGAAAGCGAGTGGTGGAAATTAAAACAATTTTAAACTTGTCGGTTACGGTATGATGCTTTGCTTGGACGTTGCCTGGAGCAGCAAACAGATTCAATTGGTAACTGGCAGTAGTGCTGTGAGGTTGTGCGCTCTCCGCAAGAGGTTATTTAGCTGATAAGTTGGCCAGTACAAAAAAAAAAAATGGGACATCACTCGCTATATTATATATTTTATATGATCATGTGAAACTTCAGACAAGGTAATTGTTTTTGGTATAGTAGGAGTCAACTGGAGAAGACCGAGTGTACCTGTGAAGTTATGAGGGGAATACCTAAACTATACTACCATCAGAAGTGTGTGCGAGTGCTTGAACTTTAGTTTGTAAATCATTAGCAATCAAAGAAATATGTTGGTAGTCTAGTAAATGTCAATAAACACTGCCGGGGGTTTTGTAAGGGGTGAACGTTGGGATAATAGATTACCATAAAACCCCAACTTCTTGATACCCTGTGACAGTAGGCAGTAGATTATCATACTTCCTTACAACCAACAGTGGGATAGCTAATCCCTGGGGGCCAGGCCTAGTCTACATCAATTGGAGAGATTGTTAGCCTATAGAGTGCATGTATAGGGTCAGCCCTGATACACAAATTATTGGTCGAGTTACTAGAAGGACACCAGTTATTATTATTATAATTAGTATTACCGCCTGTTTCTGCTTCTCCCCGGCACCCATAACACCTCTCAGGGGGAACACGTCCTTCAAACCTTGACTCAAGAATAATGCGCCTGTTCTCTCCTGTCAAAGAGTGAGCACGACGGTCAATCTCACGCCAAGTTGACTGATCAAAGTATTAAAGCCAAGTCAGTGTCTACACGACTCTGTAATCACTTCCCAGTCTAGCTAAGAGCAGCACACCAAGAATCAACAAGTCTCTCTCTCTTGGTATTTGTGTTAGATTATGCAACGCACACCACTGTTGATACGTGACTGAAGTATCTGCCTGGTGTGTGGAAGGCTCGCCAGCTCGTGTGTCCTCCCTGGAAGTCATGCACAGCACGGCTGTAGCATGATTCAGGGTGAGAGTATATCAACTTCAACGTTAAGTTCACAAGTTTGAGGCTCATTGCTCCATTGTTTAGTGATGTTGTGCAAGGCAGTCACGTGTCATACCGAGTCTCCAGGCAACAGGATTCTGAATGAATACCTCGTGCCAACCCGTCCTCAGATCAAGTCCATTCCATCCAGCGGTCAACCCCAAAGATGCATTCATAAATTTTAACATGCTGTTCATTCAAAATAGGAATTTTATCAAATATAAATTAATATTTTATATTAGCATATTGTGTATATTAAGGCATTGGTTAGGTTAGGTTAGGTGTTTAGGTTCTGTTGCCAATTACATGTATTTGTAGTACGTGGGTGAAGCATTTATAGCGTTGTAGTTCGAACAATAGTAGTCAGCAAAACACTTGTTCCGGAAGTGGGTGAGGGGCTCATGTACACCTCCGTGGGTGAGGGGCTCATGTACACCTCCGTGGGTGAGGGGCTCATGTACACCTCCGTGGGTGAGGGGCTCATGTACACCTCCGTGGGTGAGGGGCTCATGTACACCTCCCTGGGTGAGGGGCTCATGTACACCTCCCTGGGTGAGGGGCTCATGTACACCTCCCTGGGTGAGGGGCTCATGTACACCTCCCTGGGTGAGGGGCTCATGTACACCTCCCTGGGTGAGGGGCTCATGTACACCTCCCTGGGTGAGGGGCTCATGTACACCTCCCTGGGTGAGGGGCTCATGTACACCTCCCTGGGTGAGGGGCTCATGTACACCTCCCTGGGTGAGGGGCTCATGTACACCTCCCTGGGTGAGGGGCTCATGTACACCTCCCTGGGTGAGGGGCTCATGTACACCTCCCTGGGTGAGGGGCTCATGTACACCTCCCTGGGTGAGGGGCTCATGTACACCTCCCTGGGTGAGGGGCTCATGTACACCTCCCTGGGAGCGGTGTGGGTTGCATTTTCCCCCTCTCCTGCCCTCCCTTTGGGTGATGTAGGTGCTGTAGGCCACCACGTAAGAGTTCCAGTGAACTCCATTTTTCAGTTGGACTATTATGTTCCTCTGACGGACCATTTACCTTCTAAATGCCATTTCCATGATGTAATGAATAAGCCCATTTACATGTCATGTAAACATGTAAATAACGATGTATTTACGGACACATCAAGATTTTCAGTAAAGCCTTCCTCATTTGCAGTTTTTTGCTACTAAATTAATCTAGCCAGTCATCTTAATTACTGAAACTAAACCCCACAGCTGACTCAGACCTTTCTTCCAAGTTGATCATGATCTGCCACTCCGTAAATAACAAGAGTCATAACTTTCATTGTATCTAGTGAACGATCCCCTTCGGGTGGACACGCAGGCGAAAGGCTGCTGCCAAGACGTGTACTTGTCCAGGTATATTTCTTATACCTTGTTAACTACAATGAGTAATACAACAGTATAGAAACGGGGCGAGCAACATCACAGTTCTATATATTGATTATCGTAATATTCCTCACAGTTGCAGCAGTAGAAAAAAAACAAAGCGTAGAGACTGTTGTCTTGCCATCCCAAGTACCTCCAGAACCCTTGGCATAATAATTTTCATAAAATGAATCTTCAATTAAGCCATTTAATTAAACAATTACAAATCTAAGAAATAATGTATAATGACCTAGACATATGCTGCAGAGCCTCATGCACAAGTTGTGGAAGGTAATACAGATAATTAACAATTAATCAACATGAATATATTGAACATTTAGGGAATCTTGCCTTCATTAAACTGGAGGGGGACTTGAGGCACATGATGGGTCTGGAGGCTGAGCCACGTCATCCTCAAGTGGCTGTGGAGGATCTGTGCCACCCCAACTGGTCTCTCGTGGGCGCTTCTTCACTTTCTCGACACTGCCTACAATGTTCAGTTTTCTTTTCAGTCGCCTTTTAACAGACTCTGCTGTTATGCAGACTCTGACCTGTCCTGATGGACCTTCCACGTTTAGGGCAACTTCTTCACTCGACTGAAGTACCTCAATAACCTGTTGACACGGAAAATTATAGTAAATTTACTTTTCGCAATTTCATGTAGACATCAAATGAAAAAATCAGGTAAAATTGTTCCAACTGGTTGGAAGGTTTAGCATAGAAGTTGGCAACAGTTATGTCTTATATCCTGAGTGACTGGGATCTTGACGTCATGCTCTTAACATCAGTGTTATGAGAGTACCGAGGGTGTAGAGGATATATCATCTGATTGCCACTCAGGTTGCCAGAGACACTGACGACCAGAGGCAACAGCCATGCATCTGCTGAGCGGCGTCTGCCTAACCCCGGCGTAAAATCTCTCACATACGCTTGGAGAGGCACACGTCGCAGTGCAAGGGTTAAGCAACTTTATTTGTACTTTTGCACCATTTAAGTTTTATTTATGCAATTTTTATTTTCACTCTTTCATGAGATTGTTGTAAATGAATAAAGAAACCCAAGTTATTGAATGAAATAAAATGTTTAACATGCACCAGGTACATATGAATGGACAGTGCTATAAAATACTTGACAAATCTAAATGAAATATACAAAGGGGAAAAAATTTAAACACAAGGGTACCAAGTTTGGATTACCAAGGTACACCTCAGCTTATTGGATGGTAATTCAATTCCCTCTAGAACTTTTATTCCAGTTATGACATTGTGAAGGAGAAAATGGCTATTCATATCTTTACCTTTCCATTACGTCAGGAATGTTATAACAGACCAGAGACCTTACAGTTTCTTCAAGAGATCGACAGTGAACTGATTGACTGACAAATATATAAAATCTAGGAAATATAATTGAATAATTTATAAATAATCTTCCACTTATATAACACTATTAGTATTCACATACCTGTGAGTGGCAAAGTAGATGTTGTTTCAACATGTGAATATTTTGGTGAGAATATGAGCAAAGATGGCACTTGAAGGAGCTTTGGTAGAGATGACCCATGAGATGCCTCCAAGAATCTCTCTTCTGAAGATTTACTGGACAACCATCAAACTTACAGGTGTAAGGCGAGTGGGAAGGATGAGAGTCCGTGTAGTGTTGTATTAACTTGTCAGGCGAGTCATAATGGAGCGTACATAGCGGACAGCTGTAGTTCCCAGGAAGCAAACTCTCACACTCCACCGACATTGTTGATGTTGACTCCAGCACCCTGGATGTGCAGTCTCTATTAATACCATCTATAAAACTCTCTTCATATGAAGAATGGTGGAAAAGCCTATGGATTCCTGAAGACTGTCTCTTACTAACTGTACAAATACTATTTTCTTCTACAGTCAGTGTGCCTTGAGAAGCCAAAGATTCTTCTGGTTGCCTTTCTCTTGAAGGGTTAAGGTGTCCTTCGCGGGTGTGTTCTGTGTAGGCGTTTCGTATTGCAGAGTCCCTAACATGCTTCTTGGCTTCGTAGGTTCCCTTAACTTGGCCCACTTTCCTTTTCTTATGAAAATTCTTTTTACTTTCAGATGTTATTTTAATACTTAGCTTCCTTTTGCTTCCTAAAATTTGTTTTGAAGTCTTTCCTGCAGATTTATCCTTTAAGAGAAAGTTTGATTTTTTGAACGTAAATTTCCTGGATGTTTTTCCAGTTAAAGCAGTCTCTTTGGCAGCTTGAGAACTTTGGTAGGACGACTGTAGGTCCCTGACCTGTTCTGCCTGGGCTAACGTTGGCACCTGGGCCTCGGTTTCTTTCCCTTGTCCAGGCAACGATGATACATTAACAGCTTTCTTGACAGATTTTGAAGTTCGAACATAAGATTGTTTCATTCTTTTCACTTTTATCTCTTGACGAGGTAAAGAACCAATCTTCTCTGCCACCTTGGTGTCATAGCACACAAATTTCTTAGTAACCCTGTTGAGAGTTTGACCAGAGGGAGTCAGGACGTCTGGCCGCTCTTCTCTCTCTCCTCGACACGCTCCATCTTTACTCATCTGACTTTGCTCATCGAGATACACCCTTCCAGAAACTTTACTTTTTGTATTACTCCTTGGCAATGCTGTCTTCTTACCAGGCTCGAGATTATTAGCAAATGGCTTCAATGTTTCAACTTTTTGGGAAATTTTTTTAAAGTGTTGAGAAATGTTGTACCGCTTTGATCTCTGAAACTGCCAGTCGTGGTTCACAAATAATGCCTCCTGATTATGTCCGGCGAATCGTCGTACTTCCTCGCCTGCTTTAATTGTCTGAAAGTAAGAATTTGAATAAAGAATGTGAGAGAAGAGAATATATTATTGTTATTATTCTACTTCGGACCTCAATGGAAGGGAGGATATTAGCTCTATTAAGATGGAGAAACACTAAGAAAACAGGCTTAAAGATAATGCAAAAAATGTAATTAAGATAAAGCTGGATAGTATTACAGCAACTGAGGAAGGTATCTCTGTCTCCAAAGTAATTATCAAAACAAGGCAATAAGCCAGGAAAGCTATGTAGCACCATAAAATGTGCGGGATATTCAAAAGGCACTATATATCACTAAGGATGCCAATACTAGAACAAAAGTGAATAAGGCATGTGATAGTAAAGGTATCCGAGTCACCCAAGATTCTATCGAGGGAAAAGCGACCGCGAGGGACAGTCGGGATGTAAGACACATGCACATCCTGGAAGTCCGGACATTCAACAAGGATATGCACGACCGTAAGAGAGAGAATGCAGTATGGACAATAAGGAGTAGGGTGGCGCTTTATTAAGTGCCTGCGAGTGAAACGTGTATGACCAATACATAACCTCGCCACAGCCGTTTCCCACCGCTGGTTAAAGTGATAGGAGGAAGGCCATGGGGGACACATTACCATTAAGAGAACAGTTTGTAACCAGTAACACGAAGCTGTGAAAACTGCGTGAGCCGGTGTTGGAGTTCATGGAAGTTGGCAGAAAAACTACAAATATTCCATTAAAGAATAGATATTTGCCAAAAATAGAGAGATCAGAAACACAGATAACAAGGGAAAAGCACAGGCAAAGGAGAATACAGTAGACCGAAAGATCAGGATCAGTGAAATCGGGGTTATGAAATCTAGCAAGAGACGATGAGTCAAGGGAGCGGGAGGATGGACCAGAGGCGGACTGGAGCGGGAGGAGGAATCAGGGGGAGGAAGAACAAACAGGGTAGGGCACTGGATCAAGGGCAGCATCCGAGAGACTCAAGGACCAGTGGAACCTCCATAGCTGGGACAAGTGACTGCCACTGAAATGGGAGGAGATGCAGGAATAGAGTTGGAATCGGAAGGCGAGGCCTACGCACGAACGGGTGAAGAGGAAATTAAATGTATACGCCGTGAAGAATAGTTTCGTTTTCATGTTTGGTGTATCAAACAGCAACCACAGGTTATCAACTATGCTTATTCTAAAGCTAGAAGAACTTTCATTCTAAACTGGCTTCCAGTACTAGAAACCCCGCACTGTCACAATCGTACCTAGGTGCTTTAACTGTCGTAAAGAGTAAAAAATGTTCAGCAACTAACCTTTATATGTGCACGAATATGAATCTTCAATGCACTTTCATTCCTGCAGGAATAGGTACACATGTGGCATTTATATTGTTCTTGAACAGTGTGGCAGCGAAGATGGCTGTCCAAGTTGGAGCACTGCAGCTTGACCGGACAAGCAGAGTCCAAACACGGCACATACCTGTGGCCCTGCTTGTGCCAACACCGGACATGTTCACGCACATCTTCCACTGTAGATAACACCTGCGAGCAGCAGTGAATGACCCGATTTTGGCGCCTAATATTACCTGAAACAACCGGGCCGGTGTTAATGTCTCCACAATACACTTCTCTCTCAGACTGTTCATCCTCAGCTGAAGATGCAGCGCTCGCACGCCTCCCCTCAGCATGACTAAAACCTGTTGGCATTTTTCTTTTGACGGCTTTAAACGTGGTCTTTTGACCCGAAATATTCTTCAACTTATCTGGAGCACAATATCGTCCAAGATGAACGTTTCCATCAGGCTTTGCACCAGCATCCAGGAGTGAATCTTTCTGGAATTAAAAAATATATGAACTTTATGGTAGCTCCGACTATCTTTTGTAATTTTTTAAACTAAAACAATGCACAATTATACTAAATTTAAACTTACCGGCTTATGAATAGTAAGATGTCGCCCGAGGGAAGATCGTGTTGAACAAGAGAATGAACACACTGTGCACTTGTGGTCTTGCAGAAGAACGTGGTTTTTAATATGAGAGTCGACCCTGGTATTTGCAATCCTTGCAGAACAGTTTACAACTGGGCAAAAGGTAAAGAAGTTATCTCTTGCATGTTTACGTCTGAAGTGAGATGCAAGTGTTTCAAGTGTTGCAAACATGCGTGGACATGCCATACACTTCACTGACCCAGAGCTGACATGACCTGGTGCTTCACTCTCACACTTCTTGCCTCTTTTCTTCATGTCAATTTTCTTATGTAACTTGTTTAAAAGAGTCCTTTGTGTGTGTTGGTTATTGCCACGGACCAAATGGCTGTAAGAGGAGAATTCTTCAATGTTCACAGAGACTGTATCTACCTCCATAGTAAACCTGGCCCCTGGTGGGTGTTGTGGGCCGCTGCCCTTTCTCTCTCTGTTAGCAGTGATCTCATTACACTCCACCTCATCTATCAACTCCACCTCATCAATCAACCCCACTGGACTATCTGGTGCAGCAAAGAATTCTTCACTTTTAACTATTGGATCAATTCCCAGTTCAGTGGTAAACCTTTTGCTTGTTAGTACATAACTCTGCGTACTGTTCACGGAAGTACTGGACTCTGCATCTTCCACAACAAAGTACTCTACTGCATCTTCAAACCTGTTCCATGTACTCTGTGTGAGCTCTTCATCCATAATAGAACCATCCATTCCCTCAAACCCACTACTCTCGTACATCGAGGAAAATTGAATATATTTCTCAGATATTTTAGTACAATGTAGGTACTTGTTCGGTAGTGCATTCGGGAAGTTTATGCTACGAGGGCCTGCGGCAGTATGAAGGCCAGTGTCCACACGCGTTCGAGGCACAGCACACAGTGTCTTCAAGAACTTTTCACCCTCATTTTCAGTTTTAATTTTTCTCTTGAATCTCCGAGACAAACTATCGATGTATTTGTGTTGAGGTGTTTGCGAGTTGGTGGATGACTCCGGCACTTGATTAACACTAACGAGTTCCCTTGACAATAGTTGATTCTCCTCAATGTTGGTACGGCAGTGTTCTGTTTGATAGTCATTAAAACATACGATTATCCCTCCCTCATCATTCATCACCTGGCGTCCAGCATCCAAGCTCTTCATCTCCAAATATTCTGTGTTAAACATGGCATCATGTAAATATTTTACCGGGTATGAAGTCTCTATGGTATTTGGGGCTTTGAAAGTATAGCAATTATTTTCATCTCCCAGAAAGTTTTCATTATTGCCAGTGTCATCAAAATCTGAAGACCTCGCAGATACAAGACGTCCAATGCATTTAGTTTCTTCTCCCAAGGAATGATTGTATGGAAGTAGTATGGAAGACGGCTCCTGAGAGGCTGCCTCACAGTGATCATTAAAGCAGAGCGTTTCCAGCATCTCTACCTTAACCTCTGTTCCTTCTCTTTCTTCCAAATGATCATTGAGAGTAACTTCATTGTCGTCACTATCTTGAACCGATGGAGTCTTCACTTGACTGCCTTGAACCAGTGGACCAATAGTGCGACTGTCTTCAACCTGTGCATCCATCGTGCGACTGCCCTCAACCGGTGCATCCATCGTGCGATTGCCCTCAACCGGTGCATCCATTGTGCGACTGGCTTCAACCGGTGCATCCATCGTGTGACTGCCTTCAACCGGTGCACCCATCGTGTGACTGCCTTCAACTGGTGCACCCATCGTGGGACTACCTTCAACTGGTGCACCCATCGTGGGACTACCTTCAACTGGTGCACCCATCGTGGGACTACCTTCAACTGGTGCACCCATCGTGTGACTGCCTTCAACTGGTGCACCCATCGTGGGACTTCCTTCAACCGGTGCACCCATCGTGGGACTACCTTCAACTGGTGCATCCATCGTGTGACTGCCTTCAACTGGTGCACCCATCGTGGGACTACCTTCAACTGGTGCACCCATCGTGGGACTACCTTCAACTGGTGCACCCATCGTGGGACTACCTTCAACTGGTGCACCCATCGTGGGACTACCTTCAACTGGTGCACCCATCGTGGGACTACCTTCAACTGGTGCACCCATCGTGGGACTACCTTCAACCGGTGCACCCATCGTGTGACTACCTTCAACCGGTGCACCCATCGTGGGACTGCCTTCAACCGGTGCACCCATCGTGGGACTACCTTCAACCGGTGCATCCATCGTGGGACTACCTTCAACCGGTGCATCCATCGTGGGACTACCTTCAACCGGTGCATCCATCGTGTGACTGCCTTCAACCGGTGCACCCATCGTGGGACTACCTTCAACTGGTGGATCCATCGTGCGACTGCCTTCAACTGGTGGATCTATCGTGTGACTGCCTTCAACTGGTGGATCCATCGTGCGACTGCCTTCAACTGGTGGATCTATCGTGTGACTGCCTTCAACTGGTGGATCCATTGTGCGACTGCCTTCAACTGGTGGATCCATTGTGCAACTGCCTTCAACTGGTGGATCCATTGTGCAACTGCCTTCAACTGGTGCATCCATCGTGCGACTGCCTTCAACCGGTGCATCCATCGTGCGACTGCCTGCAACTGGTGCATCCATCGTGTGACTGCCTTCAACTGGTGCATCCATCGTGCGACTGCCCTCAACCGGTGCATCCATTGTGCGACTGCCCTCAACCGGTGCATCCATCGTGCGACTGCCCTCAACCGGTGCATCCATTGTGCGACTGCCTTCAACTGGTGCATCCATCATGCAACTGCCTTCAACTGGTGCATCCATCACACTACCATCTTCATCTGGTCGATCATGTGCACAAGAACCTTTAGAAATGTAAAATATGTTCGGAGCAACATTAAGTAAGCCACCCGACGCTGCAGCAACATCGTTTGCACGTTGCACATTACATTCATTAATCTGCGTAACCTCGACAAGTGCAGTTGGGTGCTCGTGCGGCTCCGTGTTGGTCGTGCACAAACGTTTTACCTCTCCAGTGCTCTGGACTCCAGTCACTTGCCCTTCCTTTTCCTTACTTTCAGTATATAAAATAAATTCATATTTTATATTTGCTTGCGTTCGTGTATTGCAGCGTTTTATCCTTACATGAGGTAAAGCCATTTGCCGCTCTCCTGTATTCGTCTGCATATTAAGTTCAGTCTTCTTGTGGGTTGTGTAATTACTGTTTTCTATTTTACAAAGCGAGAATTCTGCCAGTTTGTCTTCGTTGTCAGTAACTGCTTGACCTCGTGAACTTTTTAGTTGACACAGAGAGATGGAAGTGTGTGGCCCTGCGGAGTCAACTGGATCCTCCGTCTTCTCCAGCTTTTCATCTCTTGCTCCTGCGAGTTGCAGCCTACGCCAGTTAACAGTTTCTAAATGCTGTTGATCATCATTAACACGATGTACAGTACTCGTTTGGTTACTAAACATGAGCGTGTAGGTCTCTCCTCTCTGCTTGTCGAGAAACATTTCAAATTCACAAGCTAATTTTTCAGTGGTGTGGCTTGTGCCTGGTTGTTGATGATGGTCCTTGATTACAACTTCTTTGCTCTCAAATTTCTCCATGTTTGTAAACAAATCTTTATTGTGGCCTGGCCATTCTTGGCTCAGCCAGGCTTGTTTATCATGGCCTGGCCATTCTTGGCTCAGCCAGGCTTGTTCACCATGGCCTGGCCATTCTTGGCTCAGCCAGGCTTGTTTATCATGGCCTGGCCATTCTTGGCTCAGCCAGGCTTGTTCACCATGACCTGGCCATTCTTGGCTCAGCCAGGCTTGTTCACCATGGCCTGGCCATTCTTGGCTCAGCCAGGCTTGTTTATCATGGCCTGGCCATTCTTGGCTCAGCCAGGCTTGTTCACCATGACCTGGCCATTCTTGGCTCAGCCAGGCTTGTTCACCATGGCCTGGCCATTCTTGGCTCAGCCAGGCTTGTTTATCATGACCTGGCCATTCTTGGCTCAGCCAGGCTTCATGAGTTTCCAAACCCACATCATAAGACATGGTGCTGAGAACGGCAGACTGGACCACCTCTTGCTCACACCTAACGGCAGGGCCCAAGTTTCCGAAAACTATATCAGTGGGCGTTTCTCTGCCGTATATACGGCAGAGTGATTTCTCATGGCCATCGTTAAAAGCATTCTCAAATGTGTGGAGAATATTACTGTAACCCTTACTAACATGTCGATGGACACTGGCAGCTTCGAAACACTCTTGTTTATAACGTGACAGTTCATTATACGACCACGATTTCCAATATCTTTTGACTCGACTCACGCTTTCGTTATATCTCAGGAACTTTAGCGTCCTTATTGGGTGGTGTGTACTCTCCATACTGGAGCGGAGAGGCGACCCCGTGCAACACTTCCGTCTTAAAGCATTCATTTCTTGTACAGCATTAAGGATGGACGGTGTCTCGCTGCTGCTGCTGCTGAGACCACCAACACACCAAGGGGCCCGGCCACCAGCACACCAAGGGGCCCGGCCACCAGCACACCAAGGGGCCCGGCCACCGACAAGTCCATTAAGCTCACGGACCTGTAACTTAGAGAAGTATAGTTTCTTAATACGTATTCTAAAGACGCGGTCTACAGCCCCCACTTTATGCTTGTAAGAAGACCTGTACAAGCTTAGAACTGAAGGTCCACAAGTCTCCACTTCCAGTGCTTGTAAGGGTTTTCCATAAATAATGTTTGACGTGTTTTCCATCTCGTTTGTCACTAAAGTATTACTGTAATTATCTTTTGAGAAAGACATAAGAGTCTGTGTGACTAAATTATTCTCTACTGCTTCGCTCGAAGATGTCTTCAGAGTTGTTGATGATTCTGTTCGAAATGGTTGGCATTTAATCCGATTAATAATTATATCAGGTCTTGTGTGTGTGGCGTCAGGTGCGTGATGGGATGCCGGCGCCAGGACGCTCCAGCTCTCCTCACAACCATTCAGGATTTTATCATTAATTTCTGTATCACTATTTACCATTATTCCAACGCCTCCTTCAATGGAAATAGAGTTATTTCCCAAATCAGTCTCGATATTAGGTCTTAAAAGAGCATTTGACATCCCTTTCACGTCCACTTTTTCCATTAAAATATTCTTATGACCAATCTCCTGGCCTGAACCTGCACCAGCGGTTTGTCTCTCCAGGAAGCGCCTCGAGGTGGCCTCACCCGTCACTGTCTTCTTCTCGTGCCCATCAACACTGACCTGGATTCCTTCTTGTCTGTGATAACTAGTTCTCTTCAGAGTAAAGACTTCCTCGCCTGCCGTCGCGGGGGCACCGGCCTCGCCTGCCGTCGCGGGGGCACCGGCCTCGCCTGCCGTCGCGGGGGCACCGGCCTCGCCTGGCGTCGCGGGGGCACCGGCCTCGCCTGGCGTCGCGGGGGCACCGGCCTCGCCTGGCGTCGCGGGGGCACCGGCCTCGCCTGCCGTCGCGGGGGCACCGGCCTCGCCTGCCGTCGCGGGGGCACCGGCCTCGCCTGCCGTCGCGGGGGCACCGGCCTCGCCTGCCGTCGCGGGGGCACCGGCCTCGCCTGGCGTCGCGGGGGCACCGGCCTCGCCTGCCGTGGCGGGGGCTTCTTCCGTGACGCTGTGTGCCTTAGCAACAATAATATTTCCTTCCCATTTCCCTCGTTCACGTATTATCTCACGGATAATCTTACTTTTTCTTTCTTTCTTCGGTTGTTGAGTTAAGTCACATTCTGTTCCAGTCCCTCCCTCTCTCCCCCCGACACTGTGGCCTTGGTCAACTTCACCATCACAGTGGCCTTGGTCAACTTCACCATCACTGTGGCCTTGGTCAACTTCACCATCACTGTGGCCATGGTCAACTTCAACACTGAGGCCATGGTCAACTTCAACACTGAGGCCATGGTCAACTTCAACACTGAGGCCATGGTCAACTTCACCAACACTGAGGCCATGGTCAACTTCACCAACACTGTGGCCATGGTCAACTTCACCAACACTGAGGCCATGGTCAACTTCACCAACACTGTGGCCATGGTCAACTTCACCAACACTGTGGCCATGGTCAACTTCCCCTACACTGTGGCCATGGTCAACTTCCCCTACACTGTGGCCATGGTCAACTTCACCAACACTGTGGCCATGGTCAACTTCACCAACACTGAGGCCATGGTCAACTTCACCAACACTGTGGCCATGGTCAACTTCCCCTACACTGTGGCCATGGTCAACTTCCCCTACACTGTGGCCATGGTCAACTTCCCCTACACTGTGGCCATGGTCAACTTCCCCTACACTGTGGCCATGGTCAACTTCCCCTACACTGTGGCCATGGTCAACTTCACCAACACTGTGGCCATGGTCAACTTCACCATCACTGTGGCCATGGTCAACTTCACCAACACTGTGATCATGGTCAACTTCACCAACACTGAGGCCATGGTCAACTTCAACACTGAGGCCATGGTCAACTTCAACACTGAGGCCATGGTCAACTTCAACACTGAGGCCATGGTCAACTTCAACACTGTGGCCATGGTCAACTTCACCAACACTGTGGCCATGGTCAACTTCAACACTGTGGCCATGGTCAACTTCACCAACACTGAGGCCATGGTCAACTTCAACACTGAGGCCATGGTCAACTTCAACACTGAGGCCATGGTCAACTTCAACACTGAGGCCATGGTCAACTTCACCAACACTGAGGCCATGGTCAACTTCACCAACACTGAGGCCATGGTCAACTTCACCAACACTGAGGCCATGGTCAACTTCACCAACACTGAGGCCATGGTCAACTTCACCAACACTGAGGCCATGGTCAACTTCACCAACACTGAGGCCATGGTCAACTTCACCAACACTGAGGCCATGGTCAACTTCACCAACACAGTGGCCATGGTCAACTTCACCAACACTGTGGCCATGGTCAACTTCACCAACACTGTGGCCATGGTCAACTTCACCAACACAGTGGCCATGGTCAACTTCAACACTGAGGCCATGGTCAACTTCACCAACACTGTGACCATGGTCAACTTCACCAACACTGTGGCCATGGTCAACTTCACCAACACTGTGGCCATGGTCAACTTCACCAACACTGTGGCCATGGTCAACTTCACCAACACTGTGGCCATGGTCAACTTCACCAACACTGTGGCCATGGTCAACTTCACCAACACTGTGGCCATGGTCAACTTCACCTACACTGAGGCCATGGTCAACTTCATCTACACTGAGGCCATGGTCAACTTCACCTACACTGAGGCCATGGTCAACTTCACCTACACTGAGGCCATGGTCAACTTCACCTACACTGAGGCCATGGTCAACTTCACCTACACTGAGGCCATGGTCAACTTCACCTACACTGAGGCCATGGTCAACTTCACCTACACTGAGGCCATGGTCAACTCCAACACTGTGGCCATGGTCAACTCCAACACTGTGGCCATGGTCAACTTCACCAACACTGTGGCCATGGTCAACTTCACCAACACTGTGGCCATGGTCAACTTCACCAACACTGTGGCCATGGTCAACTTCACCTACACTGAGGCCATGGTCAACTTCATCTACACTGAGGCCATGGTCAACTTCACCTACACTGAGGCCATGGTCAACTTCACCTACACTGAGGCCATGGTCAACTTCACCTACACTGAGGCCATGGTCAACTTCACCTACACTGAGGCCATGGTCAACTTCACCTACACTGAGGCCATGGTCAACTTCACCTACACTGAGGCCATGGTCAACTTCACCTACACTGAGGCCATGGTCAACTTCACCTACACTGAGGCCATGGTCAACTTCACCTACACTGAGGCCATGGTCAACTCCAACACTGTGGCCATGGTCAACTCCAACACTGTGGCCATGGTCAACTCCCCCAACACTGTGGCCATGGTCAACTCCCCCAACACTGAAGCCATGGTCAACTTCACCAACACTGAAGCCATGGTCAACTTCACCAACACTGAAGCCATGGTCAACTTCACCAACACTGAAGCCATGGTCAACTTCACCAACACTGAAGCCATGGTCAACTTCACCAACACTGAAGCCATGGTCAACTTCACCAACACTGAAGCCATGGTCAACTTCACCAACACTGTGGCCATGGTCAACTTCACCAACACTGTGGCTAAAATCATCCTGGGTAGTTGACCCGGTCTTTATCGTGGCACCATAAACCCGAGACTCGCCGATGGCAGTTAAGGTTGAGTCGGAAGTTATCCAGTGATCATGTTTGCCAAGACACCGCACTTCCCCAGGGATGGCATACTGCAGACTTGCACACACTGACTCACACCCTTGCAACTCCAAACTCCTTGCTATCGACACGAAATCGTGGACATGTACACTAGAGATGATGAATTCCTCCCAGTACACATACTGAATGATGTGATTCATCACACGTGGTTCAACTCCTTCAACTGACAACGTCCGGACACCACTGTCAACATCTGATAAAGTGAGTGTCATACAATCTCGGCTCTTCCTGATGGGCACAGATAAAACATGGCTTCTTTTACTGCAATTATTTTCACTATTAGTAACACCCATTTCTCCTGAGAGGTTTGAAGAACAAGGATTTGAAAGTCTCGGTGTATTGAGACCAGCTTCTTGAACTTCGCTGCCTCCTTTGTTCATTTTATATCTATCATTTGTTGCGTCAGTGTCAGGACAACTGGAAATTTCCTCGACCCACTTGTACTCCTTACGATTAGTTTGGGCTTCTTCAAGAAGACGGCAAATGGGTTGAGAAGATGCGGCAAGCATAGCCGAGTGGATCAGGTGCTTCTCACAGCCATAGACAACACACAGATCCGTGAACAATTCCTGAAATAAGGCAAAGAGTTATTGCTATCTAACCATTTATTCACTCACTCTCACACTTCCCCTCTCATACACACCCACCCTCCCTGTCACACTGACGCTGGGAGATAAACCAGGCGGCCTTGGAGGAGTTCGAAATTACGAGAGAGGAGGTCAAGAGACACCTGCTGGATCTGGATGTTAGAAAGGCTGTTGGTCCAGATGGGATCTCACCATGGGTACTGAAAGAGTGTGCAGAGGCACTTTGCTTGCCACTCTCCATAGTGTATAGTAAGTCACTAGAGACGGGAGACCTTCCAGAAATATGGAAGACGGCGAATGTGGTCCCAATATACAAAAAGGGCGACAGACAAGAGGCACTGAACTACAGGCCAGTGTCCTTGACTTGTATACCATGCAAGGTGATGGAGAAGATCGTGAGAAAAAACCTGGTAACACATCTGGAGAGAAGGGACTTCGTGACAAATCGCCAACATGGGTTCAGGGAGGTTAAATCTTGCCTTACAGGCTTGATAGAATTCTACGATCAGGTGACACAGATTAAGCAAGAAAGAGAGGGCTGGGCGGACTGCATTTTCTTGGATTGTCGGAAAGCCTTTGACACAGTACCGCATAAGAGGCTGGTACATAAGCTGGAGAGACAGGCAGGTGTAGCTGGTAAGGTGCTCCAGTGGATAAGGGAGTATCTAAGCAATAGGAAGCAGAGAGTTACGGTGAGGGGTGAGACCTCCGATTGGCGTGAAGTCACCAGTGGAGTCCCACAGGGCTCTGTACTCGGTCCTATCTTGTTTCTGATATATGTAAATGATCTCCCGGAGGGTATCGATTCATTTCTCTCAATGTTTGCGGACGATGCTAAAATTATGAGAAGGATTAAAACAGAAGAGGACTGTTTGAGGCTTCAAGGAGACCTAGACAAGCTGAAGGAATGGTCGAACAAATGGTTGTTAGAGTTTAACCCAACCAAATGTAATGTAATGAAGATAGGTGTAGGGAGCAGGAGGCCAGATACAAGGTATCATCTGGGAGAGGAAATTCTTCAGGAGTCAGAGAAGGAAAAAGACTTGGGGGTTGATATCACGCCAGACCTGTCTCCTGCAGCACATATCAAGCGGATAACATCAGCGGCATATGCCAGTCTGGCCAACATACGAACGGCATTCAGAAATTTGTGTAAAGAATCATTCAGAACTTTGTATACCACATATGTCAGGCCAATCCTGGAGTATGCAGCCCCAGCATGGAGTCCATATCTAGTCAAGGATAAGACTAAACTGGAAAAGGTTCAAAGGTTTGCCACCAGACTAGTACCCGAGCTGAGAGGTATGAGCTACGAGGAGAGACTACGGGAATTAAACCTCACTTCGCTGGAAGACAGAAGAGTTAGGGGGGACATGATCACCACATTCAAGATTCTGAAGGGAATTGATAGGGTAAATAAAGACAGTCTATTTAACACAAGGGGAACACGCACAAGGGGACACAGGTGGAAACTGAGTGCCCAAATGAGCCACAGAGATATTAGAAAGAACTTTTTTAGTGTCAGAGTGGTTGACAAATGGAATGCATTAGGGGGTGATGTGGTGGAGGCTGACTCCATACACAGTTTCAAGTGTAGATATGACAGAGCCCGATAGGCTCAGGAATCTGTACACCTGTTGATTGACGGTTGAGAGGCGGGACCAATGAGCCAGAGCTCAACCCCCGCAAACACAACTAGGTGAGTACACACACACACACACACACAGGGGCTGAGTGGCCGAGTGGACAGCGCTCTAGACTCGTGGACCTAGGGACCGGGGTTCGATCCCCGCACCCGGCGGAGAGGCACGAGGAGCAATGGCCTATAGAAACCTCCGTGTGGTTGGGAGCAGTCTATGTCTGCCATCTGGCACCCAGAAAGATAGGCGCCCCAAATCAAACCCCTATTCTGGTGAAAATATTGTTACCGAAAGGCAAATGAGTGGACATAACTCCCTAAAGCACGAGCATGACTAGCTAAGAGATGCTGCGTCCGTGAACACATCGAGCGAGGGCTCGAGTAGGCGAGAAGGCACTGAATCCTGAAAAACCCAAAGAGGAAGCTTATGCAGCAACTGACGCAAAGCCCTTGGAGGCCAAACCCCGCGGTCGTGAGAGAGGCAGAAGGGATGTCCCCGAAGGAACCAGAACAGCCGACAAAGTCACACCCGACTTGGCGGGTAGACCATCATGGTAAAGTTCAGGCTCCCGCATATACACTCAAGCAACCACCGCATGACTCGGGAGCCCCTCAGGAATAGACGAAGGCGGGAACGCAGGTGAAGCAGAGCCGCCGGAGGAAGAGACAAGGAAGCGGTCCAAGCGTCCCACACAAGACCCACCCAAGACCGAACCTGAGGAGGAAGAAAATGGGACTTCCGCCAGTTCACTAGGAACCTGAACCTGGGAAAGAACCAAATCTCTGGCAAGCAGACACGCGGACTGGCTGTAAGCCCAAACCAGCCAGTCGTTGAGGTAGGCCAGAACCCGAACACCTAACAGACGCAGGCAGGCCACCACGACCTGAGTAAGGCATCTCGGCAAGCATAAGACTAAACTGGAAAAGGTTCAAAGGTTTGCCACCAGACTAGTACCCGAACTGAGGGGCATGAACTATGAGGAGAGATTACGGGAATTAAATTTCACGTTGCTGGAAGACAGGAGAGTTAGGGGGACATGATCACCACATGCAAGATTCTCAAAGGAACGGATAGGGTAGACAGTTTATGTAACACAAGGGGCACACGCACTAGGGGACACAGGTGTAAATTGAGTGCCCAAACAAGTCAGAGACAGTAGATTTTTTTGTGTGTCAGTAGTTAACAGATAGAATGCATTAGGCAGTGATGTGGTGGAGGCTGACTCCATACACAGTTTCAAGTGTAGATATGATAGAGCCCAGTAGGCTCAAGAATCTGTACACCTGTTGATTGACAGTTGAGAGGCAAGACCAAGGAGCGTAAGTTCAACCCCCGCAAGCACAACTAGGCGAGTACACACACCCCACACACCTCTATATAAAAAAAAATCACTATTTGCCACTATTAAAGTTCACATATAAAATGTTTGTCTATTTTAAGGGAGCTGTATTCCTGCAAATAAAACGAACAAATCCACAAGAGCCGTGACGAGGATTCGAACCTGCGTCACGGCCCTCGAGGACTTGTTCATTTGATACATCACGCAATTGTGATTTCTGTGTGCAAATATAACATTTCACTTGAGTTTTAACGCACTGTAAAGCCTCACCTTCTTCCTGAAGTGCTGGAACCTCTCTAACAAGGGCGGAGGGCGCAGGGCCACCTGTACGCCAGCACCAGCTGTAGGACACCAGAGTACCGCCGCTTAACACCACCAAAAGTTTCGTTATATTACAAATGTGAATAAAAAGTTGAACAATAAATATACACCATTTTGGTCACAACCCCTAACTGTTCCGTATGTTATGGGTTATTATGGGGGAGGGGTGGGGGAGAGAGGGGGGAGCGGGGCGGGGGGGGGAGAGGGGGGGGGGGGGGGGGGGGGGGGGGGGGGGGGGGGGGCGGGGGGGGGCAGCGGGGCGGGGGGGGGGGAGGGGGGGGGGGGGGGGGGGGGGGGGGCGGGGGGGGGGGGGGGGGGGGCGGGGCGGGGGGGGGGGGGGCGCGGGGCGGGGGGGGGGGCGGGGAGAGGGGGGGAGCGGGGCGGCACTACAAGACACTGTTCAAAGCTAGATATAGTTTACAACAGTTTTAAGCACCTTCAGTATCTGTAGGACACACTACGCCTGCTGGCCACGTGGTAAGACCCAACCAGTACTTGTAACCCCTTAACAACCCATTGTACCTTCTTGTATATGAATGAATGACTGAATAATCTGCCAGGCACATCCTCCCACTCCCCGGCCTGACCCGGGGCTCCCCAACTTTCTCTATAACACACTCAAGACATGTATACTTGCTCTGATTATGCAAGATTTAATATACCACTTAAAAGTATAATATACATCTGAATTTTTGAGGATAAAGAAAAGCAGTTAAGTATGAAGCAATTCTTACCTGTCGGCTGCTTATACGGGTTCCTCTCATCTGACTTCATATTGCTCCGTTCCTCTCTGCAAAACAAGACAATCAACCGCTGGTAAACAATGGATCCGTAATTTACATCACTGAACATCCCGCAAGTTTCGCATTTAACTCGGCAATAATACCCTTCCACGTGTAATATGTCCATTCAATATCATTGTTGTAGTAAATGTATTTCCTCACAATATTATTGAATGCAAACTACACTGTCACAATGATAACGACCACCTAACGAGGCTCTGATATGCTACAACCAAACAAAATTAATGAAGTACAGAGTTTATAACCAAGTTTGTTACTGATAATTTGCACCACGAACCACTGGTGACGACATCACGTGTCCACGACGACAACTACGACTCAATATATCAGCCAGGACAGAGTACCTAGTCTCTAGGTACTCTGGCCTAGCTGAGTACCAGGCCAGTACTCAGTTCTACTCACCATCTATAACTTGTACAGCACTGCGGATTTTGTCTTATTAAATGTTATGTAAAATATGCTTCCAATCTCCATAGCATCTGGAACCAGTTCCAGCACGTCCCTAGCCTAAACTACTAAAGATCAAACATAAATGTTAAATAATTACAAATATGCAGCAATCTACAATATAATATTGTATTGTAATGCAGGACCTGATAATTATGTAGTAATATTCAACAATATTACTATGTCGGGTGTCTAATAATACAACAGGTGTAGGTCGGGTGTTAAATAACAAAACAGAACCATGCTCCAACCAGAACCTAAGATACAAGGTGTTCTGATCCCATCAGTGTGAGGTGTCAACACCGGTGTGGAGCAGCAGTGCTTCCAACGACCCGAGTGGCGGAACAATCGATGATGCAGTTAACAAGGCGTGTATATCCCTCCCCCCCTGGACAGGCCCCGGCGCTTGAGCGGTTCGTGTGATCAGTCGGTGCGACGTTTGCAACAGCAGAGGCTTATAGTCTTGCAACGGCAATGGCTACTACAATTCTTTTGAGGTAAATCTATACTGCTGACCACTAAATCTAGCGATTTACTGTCGTCTATATAGCAACAACAACACATACGCCTTCACCTGCACATTTTAATTCTAAAATCCGTCAGAATTACGTTTTAAGCCAAAATTAGTCTTCGAGGCATTGAGAACGCCATCGTCACACTACGAACCACTTGTAAACATAACTGTATATAACAAAATGTTTTAATTCCTCAATTACTTTATGAATCTTGCTTCGTGTTGCTCCATCTGCCACAATAGGCTATATTAGGTAGCAACTTTAGTCACTAAATCTGCAACACCACTGGCCTAGCCTCGCCCACCAACCCTATCACACACCTCGCTCATTAATTACCTCCGTAATTGGTTAGTTGGTCCAGATGTCGAGGGTATAGCATCCAGACAGCGGCGGCGTCTGGATGGTATAGCATCCAGGTATAGCGGCGCGGGTATAGCAGGGAGGGTATAGCGTCCAGGCGAGGAGGTATAGCAGCCAGGCCTGCCTCAAGTAGACTGACCGTCACCCTCCCTCTTCGAAAACGGGGGCCGCTCACCCCCTGGGAGCCCTCACTATTGTATTTTCCCTCACTGTTAATCACCTCTATTATAACAAAATACCGTATATATATATGGACTAAAATGAAAATCGTCACAAAAAAGGTACATATATACACATCCAGCAGACAAAAGTACAATAACAATAAGTTATTGTTAAGTAACAATTATATAAGTTCAATAACAATAACATAAATAAACTCATGATATAACAGAAACCTTTATTTCGACGTCACGTAATTGAAGGCCACCGGACACTTGCGATAAATCACCTTACTGTTTACCTCAGTCATTTCAACACTGAGAAATATTACGTGTGTTAGATAATTATTGTTCAAGTGTTGCTTTAATGGAAGCAGAAAGCGACTGGAGAACTGATGGGGGGATACGCTCCTAAAACAAATATTTACATTTTCATGTATGATGTATATTTTCCTATTATTTGGCAAATTATAGAACATTATATCGAGGTAATCGTTAACTGTGCTATAACACATGTTAACTTTAGGATAATTAAGTGGTAATGTTAGCCAACAACACTTACTCTAGTACATCTGGTATCAATGCAGCTGGAAGAGCTTCTAGCTTGAGTAGCTTGCTAGTTGTACACAGATCCCACGTGCTGGATTAGGTATGCTAGACTAGGTAAGCTAGGCTATCACAAATTTAAGAAGAATTAGTTGGTATTTTGCAACCCATCCCTAGGCAGTGTTCGTCCATCCAGTGGTCAACCCAAAGATGCATTTATCAATGTTGATGTACTGGGTGTTCAAAATAATAGTTATCTCAAATGTAAATTAATATTATTATATATATTGTAATATTGCGCATATTTAAGCGTTGCTTAGGTTAGATGTTTAGCTTCTGTTGGCAATTATGTATATGTGTAGTACGAAAGGTGAAGCATTTCCAGAGTTGGGAGTCGAACAGAGGTCATCAGCGAAGCACTGTTCGAGAAATGTTCGAATGTCATCAGTGGTGATTCGTGTGTAAAGCGCTTTCCTTCATAAACAACGGGATTATCAGCGGGATTAACGAGCATTTGGTCCTTGTTAATGAGAACGGGCTATTACCTAGACGATAATGTCTTATAACAAAGATAATGTGTAATTCCAGGAAGTCATGGACTCTATATACAAATAATTTCCAATGGGCACAACAAACCAAATCTTACTTAGGCCTAAATATGTACAAAACCCATTGTTTATATATGAGGAAATTCGGAATTTTTGAGATCTGCGGCAGTTGGTCTGAGCCTGGGGCCAGATTCACGAAAGCACTTACGCAAGCACTTACGAATCTGAACATCTTTCCTCAATCTTTGGCGGCTTTGTTTACAATTATTAAACAGTTAATGAGCTCCGAAGCACCAGGAGACTGTTTATAACAATAACAACAGTTGATTGGCAAGTTTTCATGCTTGTAAACTGTTTAATAAATGTAACCAAAGCCGTCAAAGATTGAGGAAAGATGTACACATTCGTAACTGCTTGCGTAAGTTCTTTCGTGAATCTGGCCCCTGGTTTGTTTGGCTGTGTTGAACGCCAGTATGATGATACTGAACGTAGGATCTTTTAATGTTCCTGCTACTGGAGAGTGACAATGTTACTTGCCAGGACACATCTTCACACTCTGGGACATGAAGTAACACACTAACACCACCACCACATCATCACATTAACACCACCACATCACCACACTAACACCACCACATCACCCTAACACCACATCATCACACACTGGCACTTTTCCACGCCAAAAGCACTCCAAAAAAAAGAGCCCATTGTATACTTTAATATACGACGTTAGTGCTATTATATACTTTAATATACGATAATGCTATTGTATACTGTGATCTACCACGTTAATGAAAAGAATATTTATCTGTCTATTTGGACTAAAAATAACTGTCAGTAACAAGAGATTAATTAACAAAGAAATTTGTTATATATTCAAATAATTATTTTAACATTAGTTTGCCCTTAATAATATTAATTAACATATGATATTGATTGCATGAATTAACAAAGAATAAGACATAAATCACCTCAAGATTAGCCAAATAGGCTTGGAAATGGATGAAAGATTGGCAGATGTTGTTTAATGATGAAAAGTGTGTTCTGAGGCAACATAGTGATGATTCTTAAAAGATATCAACTGAATCTTTGCCTTATCTTAGGCAGTAAAAGATATCAACTGAATCTTTGCCTTATCTTAGGCAGTAAAAGATATCAACTGAATCTTTGCCTTATCTTAGGCAGTATAAGAAATCAACTGAATCTTTGCCTTATCTTAGGCAGTAAAAGATATCAACTGAATCTTTGCCTTATCTTAGGCAGTAAAAGATATCAACTGAATCTTTGCCTTATCTTAGGCAGTATAAGAAAAAATCACCATAGAAAATTAGGTCAGGCTGGCAAGTTAATTTTGGTTTAAATAAAAAAATAAATTGCATCTTATTCATTAAATTAAACAAGATAGCACTCTTCAAATTGTATTCTTTGAAAAAATTATTATTTTAATAAATTTTGTAGGTTTGGCGCCTCTAGTTACTAGACACGACCAAATATGTACATTCAAACATGTATATGTACATTCAAACATGTTTGTACGCTATCATACATCCATACATATATACAGGCATATTATACATACAGCAGAGATATGGTGAACGTATACATCATAAAATATATTAACAACGAAATACACATCATTTATTAAAAAGTGTATTAATCAGCAAATAAAACTCTTCATTAGCAGCAAACAATTCTCACCCATGCGGCCTGCTTACGGAGGGGCGAGGATGGCATCCCGTCCGGTTGTGTTCGGATACCTAGACAACTCACCATGGTTTCGGATAAACAAACGCTGTACCGGATTTTAACGTACTTTTTCCGTATATTTTCATAAAAAATATATCTATCCGTGCCATACGTTAAGCCCATAAATAGAAGCGTAGAACATATCAATACGTAAAGGGGAGTTGAATATATTTGTGATGACTGGATTGTTCGGTTAACGAGGTGATTGGTGGAAGGTATCATGCATGTGGTGAGTGAACACAGTCGGCCAGATCACTCAGGTGGGCAACATTGATTGTTGCAATCTCTCTAGCGAGGTGGGAAGGACACTCCACACCTGACTGGGACCTACACACTCACACACCTGTTGTCCCATCACAGCCATCTCTCTGCTTCACCAACACAGGTATATATCACCTACCTAACTATACTGTATATTCGAATCGGGCATTGCATGAGACTTTTAACCCAATACCCGACAGCACTCGGAGGTCAATTTTAGGATACAGATATATCATCGAATCACTTCGCTTTTTGGGGCCACGTGAGTAACACAAATCCAAAAAAAAGCTTGAATGGTCCCCTAAGCCAACATGCACCAGAAACCTCGTAACCCCCTGAAGGATTCGAACACGGAGACTCGGAGGTCAAGAGTTTTCTGATGCATGTAGCCATGAGGACCATTCAAGCTTGGCGCGTATGTGTATTTTTAGGAGAATAGGTTGTGACATTGTGTCCAAGGTATTTATTAGCAATGATCGATATACACGTGTGTATATCTTGCCTCTAATACACTCATGTATGTATCATGGCACCTCAACATGACTGTATCATGACCCAGATAAACGCATATGCAACATATAAAACATATTTGTCATTAAAACCATTATTAAAAATTTTTAATTTTAAGTAGTTTAGTAGATAACGTTTTTATATACTTTAATATGCTATGTTAATACTTTTATATTCTCAAGTATAATTCGTTAATGCTTTTATATACTTTAATATACTTCGTTAATGCTTTTATATACTTTAATATACTTCGTTAATGCTTTTATATACTTTAATATACTTCGTTAATGCTTTTATATACTTTAATATACTTCGTTAATGCTTTTATATACTTTAACATACTTCGTTAATGAGAAAAATCCGTAGGAGCCATGATTTCTTAGTGTCACGTTAATGTGATTAAGGTCTCTGTATACTACGTTAGTGCTAGTGTATACTTTAATATACTACGTTAGTGCTATTGTATAACGTAGTTAGTGCTAGTGTATACTTTAATATACTACGTTAGTGCTATTGTATAACGTAGTTAGTCCTATTGTATACTTTAATATACTACAAGTGCACCAGTAACCTGGGGCCAGATTCACGAAGCAGTTATGCAAGTACTTCAGAAAGTTGTCGTTCTTATCATCGTCGTGGCGGCTACGTCGGAAGTCAGGAAGGCATTTAAGACCACCAATCTTCCTAAGACCAGCGCCTCGGGCTACGGCGCCTCCAGACCAGTCTTAGTGTTACGTAAACTGTATATAACGAGTTGGTCACTACTACACAACCCTCAGACTGGAAATTTTGAGATAAATAATAATTTAATAATTTAATATTAAATAAAACATTTCTGTTGGTGAGTCCCATCAAGAAGTCCTTCATGTTAACTATATATACAAGTTTCTACTGCTTGTAATTTGTAATAAATATGTCTTTTTATGAAATTTTAATTAGATTTATTATAGCAAGATGATAAATCTTCCAGTAGTTATTGAGTAAATAAACGTTGGGGAAACTTGAAATATGAGAGTAGGTGATGATCATGGGTGGGACAAGAATGTCTGGAAGCATTTACTATCACCTAATGCCTCTCTTCACCTAGCAATAAGTAAAGCTTCTCAAGAGTTAGTCAGCTTCTCGTGAGGCTGCAGACTGTAGCGGGGGGGGGGGGGAGGGGACTTTGATATAGGCCTAACATGTATATAATTAATAATAATAATTCATTGTATTGGGGAGAAGGCAGCCAGAGTGTATATATATACATTTTAGGTTTATATCGAGGGTTGTGTAGTAGTGACCAACTAATTATATACAAACTCCCGACGTAGCCGCCACAACGATAGTCAGAACGACAACTTTCCTCAGTACTTGCATAACTGCTTCGTGAATCTGGCCCCTGCTTGTCAGCACTTTACTTTACTTTATGCATGTAACTATCGCCCATTGTTCATTATTACTTGGTAGAGGTGTTGTTGCGAGTGACGCTGCCGCCTCCACGGCACTGTTGGCACTGCTGGGACACCGTTACCACCACCATCATGACACACATAATTGCTCTCGTCTTGCTTGGCCTCAGCATTGTACAGGGTGAGTCATGTGTACGTGTGTCTGTCACGCCGAGTCTGAATGGGGCAAGATGTAGTATTACACCCGTACTGTGGGTACCTACACTACCAGTCTACACTCCACTCTGCTGTGTCATAGGGCCCCAATTAAGTACCAAAAGCTATTCTAACAGGTCCCCCAGGGACAAGGGGTGAGGCCCGACCCCCAGGGAAGTACCTCCAAGGGATGATGTCCTTTGTGGGGTAGAAATAGCCTAAGCTACTCTATCCCTTTGAGATGTATTTCTTTCTTGTCTCAATAAACATGAACTTGATGGTGTTCTCTTGTGCCTGCGACACAGGGTATTTAAAATAGATGTAATTACCGACATTATAAACTTAATCTTACTGAACATAACATAGAAAATGTCAGTGTTTTTTTATGTTTGCTAAGGTGCACCCAAAACACTGTAGGTGAAGAACAGTCCAAGAACATTCCCCCAGTAACGAACATGAATGTTCTCCATTCTGAATGTTCTGAATGATACTTTAAATAATACTACACATTTGTGTCCCTGGAATTGCTATCATATAATAATGGAAGGTAGAGCTTAGTGGCCAGCACGAAACGGGGTAAGGAGTTATGTGAACGATAAAAGGATCCGTCCCTTAGCAAGAACCCTCAACCATAACCAGCCAGACGCAGCTGAAATTAAACTATCTTCCCCCTTCCACCCCGTTTTCTGTTTTGGGTCCTCTGGCTTAGGCTGTTAGGTTAGGAGAGGAAACTTTCAATTATCGGTTTGCATGACGTTTTGAAACCTTAGGAGAACTTCCTGCCCTCCTAACCTACCAGAGGACCCTTAGCTTGCATTTGTTTTGGGAAAAAAAATCAAAAAATTTATTTTCAATTATTTTTAATTTACAAATTACGTCCATTTTCGGCCATACGGACAAACGGCCAAATTCGGACGTAATTTAAGACTATTTCTGAGAGGACAGGTTGTCCCCACTGTGGCAACGTGTCCACACGTCGTACATAACCTTATTTACCAAATATCTTATTTCTTGTAATACACTTTACTGAGTACAAATTAACTGAAATAACCTACTGGCTGCTTACAGCTGAATTACTGACTTACATAACAACTATCTCCCCCAGCCAGGGGGCCCATTTAACAGATTAGTTGTGTCCAGGCAGCCCCTGCAAGCTTTACTGGTCAAAATCACGTGAAATCATAATTTGTTACTTTATAATTCCTGCTGTTTATCATCGATTACCTAAGTGTAGTCACAGGATTATTGAGAGCTACGCTCGTGGTGTCCCGTCTACCCAGTACTCTTTGTCATATAACGCTTTGAAATTTCTGAAGGTTTTGGCCTCCATCTTCTCAATTAACTTGTTCCAACTGTCTATCACTATTTACAAAAGAAAACTTTCAAATATTTTTTCAGCACCTTTGTTTCCTTAGCTAGAATCTGTGTGTCCTCTTGCTCGTGAAATTGCTGATTTCAGGAATTCTTCTTTGTAAATTTTTTCGATGCCTGTTATTATTTTGTAAGTAGTGATCATATCTCTTTTTCTTCTATATTCTAGTGTTGCATGCTTAACGCCTCTAGTCTGTCCTCGCAACTCTTGTGTTTCAGTTCCGGAAGCTATTTTGTAACATACTGCTGCTGCTGCTCCTTTTTCAGTTTATTTATTTATTTATATACAAAAAGGTACATTGGGTTTGTGAGAATACATAGCATAGTATTTACAATCTTGTAAAGCCACTAGTACGCGCAGCGTTTCGGGCAGGTCCTTAATCTAACAGATAATTTTAAGTAGGTAAATTCTAGCGGAATTAATAAACACCATATAACACATAATTTATGTGGTGCTTGAGACACGGGCGCCATACAACTGCTGTCACCTTCTGTGGTTGAGTGTTCAATATACCCTTGAACTATATGTTTAACACTTCTCTAACCCTGTCCATGGAGGACAGAAGAAAATGTATATATGTTGGTTAGCATTGTAAATGTGTGGCCACGTCTGTGGTAGAAAAAAAAAACTGCTGCATATTTCAATTTTGGTCTCACAAAAGTCATGAACAGTTTCTGTAGTATTTCACCATCTATATAATTAAAAGCAAATCTGAAGTTGGAAAGTGACATACTCCAAGAACTTATTTTATCTAGATCAATTTGAAGGGCATTACAATGGTCTGCGTCTCCTGTCTTCCCCAGTATCTTAGCGTCATCCGCAAACATGTTCATATAATTCTGCATTCCTTCTGGTAGATCGTTTGTGTAGTGTACTCACCTAATTGTGCTTGCGGGGGTTGAGCTCTGGCTCTTTGGTCCCGTGTGTGTGTGTGTGTGTGTGTGTGTGAAAACACTTCCTAATTACCACCTTTGTCTCAGCTGAGGAAAAGGGTAAGATAGAGTGCTACGCTAACCCGTCAGGCAGCAAGCTGGACCCCAACAACATCTACACCTGCACGTCGGAGCAGAAGTGTTGCCAAGAGAACGGCGTCCCCACCTGCTGTAGCGAGAAGCCTACTTCAGAAGCTGTCGTTGGTCAGGTCAGTGCTCCCAAGGCTCCTCTCTCCTGGCCAAATAATGTCTGTAACACCCAAAACTTTTATCTCCTGTCTAACATACTGACGACAAAGAATTCAAACTGAAAATAAATATATATTATATGTTCTTAATAGGCTTTGTTGACTGGGTTTTGAGTGTGAAATGTTTCAAAGTTTTGTGTATCTGCTCTCTTAGCACTTTTTCATGTAGTCAAACATGTTTTCGGCAAACACCTCACCCACATTAAGGTGAGTGAGGTGTCTGACGAAGCCCCATCATTGAAATTGAAATTGAAATAAGTTTATTGAGGTAAAATACATACAAAGGAATGAGGTAGCTCAAGCTATTCTCACCCCGTTCAGTACAACGTGTCCATACATATATACACACATCACAAACAATAAACAAATTACCAAACATTCTGAGAGATAAACATATCCATTTTTTCCTTTACACAAGTAGTATGTTATCAGACATGCACACAAATACTTGTATGACCAGGTATATAGACAATTTGCAAGAGACATTCAGAGAATTCAACAAAAGGTCAACCCAGAAGTAAAATAAAACTCTGTTTAGTGTTTTCAGGCTACAGTTGTGTGTGTAAACTAAAGTCTTTGAAAATATAATAAGTTATTAGGAAACGCATTAAAGCGTCGCGTCAGACTAGAAATAAAAATGCATCTTGAAGTCCCGTGGTTGGTGGCGCAGGCGCAGCTGTGGGGGACGCTGGCGGGGCTGATCCTGGTGATGGGCGCCCTCATGTGGTACTGCAGACATGACGGTAACTGGTGTGGGAGCAAGAAGAAGGCCAAGACACCCGAAAACGATCAGAAAGAGCTTGAAGACGACGATACTCTGTGAGTGACCATCTTTTGATACACACAATATATGTATATAGGGGGCCCTAATAGCTGGGTGGACAATGTTCTGTACCCTGTCCACCCAGGGTTATATATATATATATATATATATATATATATATATATATATATATATATATATATATATATACATCTCTAGCCCATCTCTAGCCTTGTTTCTTTTGTCTAAACTTTGTCCCCACTAACACATTACCTCCTTGCCCCAAATCCGTTCCCATACCACTATCAACTACCAGTTTAAACTCAAAGAAGACCTTCTAACCACAGATTGCAAACAACTGGCAAAAGACAACAACCCCAGCCCTAGACAGACTAACTCCTCACCACACATATCATTCCTTCCATTCAAATGTTCCCAGTTACCAGTTAATGATATTGCATTTGGTTTGCGATATTTGTCTAGTCGGCAATTGACTCCCGGTGGTCCAGACAGCCACTCATGCCCAACTTCCTCTCATGGAAGAATGTCACATGATGATCAGAATCTTCCCCTTGCTTCTGATTCGTTAGCTGTCCTAAACCTCGTCATTAGGGCATTAATGCCTCGCTGCTAACTCGTCTTACATCATTTCCTCCGCCACAGATGGAAATAACGAGTTTGTTCCCGTTGCTAACCATAATATTACTGTGCTTGTCATCTGAAGAAAGCAATCGTTAACTAATTCTAAAAGAAATCTTATACATCAATATTTCCTATTTTGTTAATCTAGTTAATTCCACGAAAATTAAAGTCACCCGTAAGAAAAACACTTTAAAATTGTTATCCACACTTGGCAGCAGGATGTTGTTTCTGGAATTTTTCCTTATTAAGGCTACTGAATAGCTCGGTCGTTAGAGTTAACACCATTACCCGCACGTCAGAGTGTACGCAGACCGACACTAACAATTACCGTTGGACTCCCGTTGGGGGCCTCCCGAATTCCCAATGAATTCAGTAGAGTTCCAGGTCGATCGAGTTTCATCCTATCGTGACCGAGTGGGTTTAACAAGGTGTCTGAGAATCACCAGCACGCTTGTTCTAGTCATCCCATTGTCTCAAAACAAATTTCTCATTGATACACCATTCCATTGTGATTTCTTTGTGATTTTTCATTTTGTTAACACTATGCAGGCGAGGAGTCACAATAACGTGGCTAAAGTAAGTTGACCAGACCACACACTAGAAGGTGAAGGGACGACGACGTTTCGGTCCGTCCTGGACCATTCTCAAGTCGATAGTCATTCAACGTGGGATTGGACCATTCTCAATCGACTTGAGAATGGTCCAGGACGGACCGAAACGTCGTCGTCCCTTCACCTTCTAGTGTGTGGTCTGGTCAACTTGTTAACACTATCCCCCTAGTCTCGCTCCAAGATAGCAAACCCTTAACCTGTTTCTCCTGTATCTGCCACATCGTGTCTAAATGCCTCACCTGGGAGATCGTTTCAGGGTAAATTGGCTGGTGTGGGTAATCTGTTGTTCTTACTGTGGGTTTCCTGTTGTTGACAGTGAGGAAGTGAAGATGATGCCTGAGGGGAAGAAGCCTACGTCACACGACCCAGACCTCGCTGACCTGGAGTGTGAGGTGGCTCGCTAGACCTCACCTGTCAGCGCCTTAACTCGCCTGTCAGCGCCTCATCAGGGTCACACCTCACCTGTCAGCGCCTCCCTAGAGCCACACCTCACCCGTCACCGCCACACCATTGATAATATTACCAACTAATTTTCCACATTCTACTGCAATGATATTTATCAATAAAAGGTTATTAGAGTTATAACGCGTTGTGGTGGGCAAGACTGGACGTAGCTCCTGGGATTTTGAACAATACAATATGCCCTTCATGTTTCCCTAATGTGGTATGTTAAGGAATTATATTAGGCAACTATGTTAGGAAACTATATTTGGGAACTTAGTTGAAGCTTACAGTCTCTGTGGCGGAATGGTAACACCCTCGTCTGGTGTTTCGCAAGGGCCTAGGTTCGTATCCTGTCCGAGGAAGATTGACTGGGCGCTAATCATTAACTGTATAGCCTCTATTCACCCAGCAGTGAATGGGTACCTGGTTGTTAAACGATTTGGCGGGTCGTCGAGGGAGGGCTGGTCGACGACCGGGCCGCGGGGACGCTAAGCCCCGGAAGCACCTCAAGGTGGGTCGTATTCTGGGGGAAAATTAGGATTAAGGACCTGCCTGGAACGCTATGCGTGCTGGTGGTTGTACAAGAATGTAACAACTCTTGTATATATATAAAGAAACAATTGAGAAAGTGTCGCACCTTAGGACACAGTCTTGGCTGAGCCTTACGGTGCTATCATCTTTGAAGACAGTGTTATCTTACTGTTGAATACTGTTTAATATATGTTAAAATAGTTTGTCATTATATTGTATACCATTCTTTAGTGTTTCTAATTTTTAGGGGTAACTATGTTATAATATAATGATATATCTAATTTTAGGACTTTTTGAAGTGTTTTATTCTAAGTTACTTATAATTATTTAGGGTTGAATGTTCCTCGTTAAGGAACACAAGTTAAATGATATAAGTTAAGTTATAATAGCTTATATAATAATAATAACTTATAATAATATAAGTTAAATAATTCACATTGGTTGAGATAATGTTTGTCATACAGCCATAATATTACTTGTAGAAATCTTCAATTTTACTCTGGTAAGAATGTGTGTGTTTAATTCTTGTGTATGTACGCACACACACACTTCCTAGACGCAGCAGCTGGGTAAGTCCCAGGTACATATTTACTACTAGATGAACAGAGGCATCAGACGATAGAAATTGCCCAATTGTTATTGCCTCGAAAAGGAATCGAACCCGGTGCCTTAGAGCTACGAACCCAGAGCGATGTCAGCTCGGCTACGAGGACTCATTAGCTTCATTATGAGGAGGAATTACAAATATTTACTCAATATAATTATATCTATTTGCCTATAAGATTGATTGTGATATATTAGATAACTGTGTTATCATGACTGTGTGTTATCATTAGTGTTACTCCCTGGGATGATAGCATTTACCTGAATTTACCTTGTGGCCTCGATGAGAACAGGAAGCCGGCGGTTTGTCAAAGGTTCCCCCTTATACGTATATCATCAGAAGAAAATAAAGTCTTGCAAAACACATTCCATTATGTTAAGGCTTAGCAAGCTTGGCAGAGGTTGTGGTACCGTCTATTAGGGCGCGTCTGGGATCCTCTAGGACGTAGGTTCGAACCCTCGCCACGGCTCTTGTGGATTTGTTCATTATCAGAGTAACTTTGGTAGGAATTATTCAGAAACTGTAACTAGTTGCTCAGGGAGTGAGTAGTGTATAGGTGAGTAGTGTATAGGTGAGTAGTGTATAGGGTGGGTGTATAAAACAATTATTTAAGACATTCATGGCTTGTTGAGCCTGAGAAGTAGAACCAGTATACTCGCATTAGTATAGTGTGTATATTAGTACTGGTACACATGTGTACCAGTATGTGTGTACATGTGTAGCAACGCTTGGACACGGGTAAAGTGGTGTGTGTGCACATGAGCATACGGTACATACACACACACATGTACACACACTCTCCACATGTGGAGTAGATGTGGTGGAGGCAGACTTCATACACAATTTCAAATGTAGACTTGATAGAGCACAATAGGCTCCTGAATTCTGTACACCAGTTCATCTGAGAGTTCAGAGGTGGGACCAAAGAGCCAGAGCTCAACCCTCGCAAGCACACACACGAGTGAGGTTCTCGTGTTCTGTAGTTGCAATATTAGAGACAATTCACTAATAACAAAACATACTTTATATTGTGTTATAGCACGCTGCCTCAATATAATTTAAGATAATAATTTGCAAATTATCTTGTGTATCATACACGTAATGTGTTGTAGAGATCTTCCTAGTGTTGTGAAGGTTGTTGAGCAGTGTTGTGACCGGACGCACACGACAACAGTTGCCCTTCAGTGTAGTTCATCATTAAACTCACTATATACCTCTTTAAGACTGTGATTTACTCCCTCAGGCAAAAATCTACACTTGTATGTACACCTGTACATATATATACACCTGCACATATATAATTTATATGTATTTGACATAACTCTTGCTTTTTATTGGTTTTGGGTGAGATGGGTACATGAGAATGGAAGTAACTGCAGAGGGCCTATTGGCCCATACGGTGCCTTGAAGAATTTATATATATATATAGTATATATATATAGTATATATATATAGTATATATATATGTATATATATATATATATATATATATATATATATATATATATATATATATATATATATATATATATATATATATATATATATATATATATGTATATATATATATACATATATATATATATATATATATATGTATATATATATATATATATGTATATATATATATATATATATATATATATATATATATATATATATAGTATATATATCTACTTCTATTTGTAAGGTCTGATGGCGTAGTGGGTTAAAGCATACTAGTTATGCCAGCTACTGGAAGGTAGTTGTGCTTTCTGGGTTCGAGTCCCACTGGTGGGTGTTGTCCAAAGATTGTATATATATATATATATATATATATATATATATATATATATATATATATATATATGTATATATATATAATATATATATATTTAATATATAATATCACAAACAACCCATCGTTATCCTCACTCCTATGTCCCCTCGTCCTCCCCGCCATTCCCTCTTCCTCCCCACCCTCCCTAACTACCCCCATCCCCTCATCCTCTCCCCCATTCCCCCCTTTTTCCCAGATCATCCGGGGTCAAGCGCAACACGGGACCTGGGAGAGTGCCAAAAAATCATGCAATCACTATGTGGGAGGGAGAATTGCCCCCTGTTATTGCATTACCAGGCATAAGGCCTTGTAGAGTGGACCGATATATTGGCAGCCCATCCTTATGTGGCAACTGTCAACGGTGGGACCACAGAACCTGGCAATGTGATCAGAGAACTAGGTGTGGGTGTTGTAGCGGCTCTCACGACACTAAACTATGTCTGGATAAGCTTAGTGTTAATAACCCTGTAACACCCAAGTGTGTCAATTGCCAGCAACCCCACCAGGCATGGAACCGGCACTGCAGCAAGAGGCCTAATTGGCAGGGACCAAAACGAATATCGACTCAGGCCACAGGTGGACCAGTGACCAGGGGGGGGGGGAATGTAGCCCAGGGTGGTCCAGTGACTGTAGCCTGGGGAGGAAATGGTGTAGCCTGGCACCGCTCCCCTGAGGCCTATCCACTTCTTCCCCCTCCCATAAACCCACCCGCTTATTTTTTGTTTGGGGGGGGGAGGAGTAAAGAGGATGGAGAGGCATAGGTGATGGGAAGTATAGAAGTGGGAAATACAGTGAGAGGTATGAAAGCAGGCGGGCTGTCCGCCTTGCTGACACGATGTGTGGGTGTTGGCAGCTAAGCTAAGCTGGCTCCTTCTTGTCAGGGAGCTGTGAGTGTGTGAGAGGTTCTTCACATGTGTTTCACCATAACTGGATGTCTGAATATTAATAGAGTTGCGTGGTGACCGCCGGCCGGGTCGGACGTTCCTGAGGTCTCTCCGCACTGGCTAGTGTTTACGTTGGGTGATCGCTTGTTTGCCCTGCTGGTGGTGGTTTGCCACTGACGGGGTGACGTTTGCTTCGCCATGGGGACGTTTCGCCCTCCATTGCAGAGGACGCTGTCAGCTGGTCTGGCGTTTACGGTGCCGGTGGACCATCCATTGGTTGGTGTCGCCCTAGTAGACGTGCTGCATGTGCAGCTGTCTGACCTGGTGGGCATCCAGCTGCTTCAGGGCCACCGTGCTGTGGTCAAGTTCCGCCTCCAGGCTGCCTTTCAGGCGTTTCTCGAGCGGTGTGAGGGGCGTGTTTACCCTCTCCCTGATTCAGCTGGCTCAGTTAAGGTAGTGAATCTTAGTGTCACCTTGACGTCTGTGACGGTGCATGGTGCCCCCTTCGAATTTCAGGACGACTTTTTAACCTCCTGTTTCGAACGGTTTGGGACAGTGTTGAGTGTTCGTTGGAACAAGGTCGTTGCCGGGCACTGTGTTGGTATGCTTGACGGCTCCCGCACCCTGACGATGTCGCTGAAGGGTAGTGTACCGTCGTCGATGTCCGTGTTGGGATACACGCTCCGCTGCCAGTACCGGGGTCAACCGCGCACCTGTTATCGGTGTGGTCACGAGGGTCATCTGGCTGCTGCGTGCGACGTGGGAGCGACTGGTCGTGTGCATGTTCTTCGTGCGGAGGATTTTCCGCCCCTGTTGCGTTCGGGCGGTGTAGGTGCTGTGCCTGAGGCGCCTGCCTGCCTGTCTGCTGCTCCGCCTGTTGAGGAGAGCTCTCCGGCCTGTGCGACACGTCTAGTGCCAGCTGTGGCCCCTGGGGTTGTTCCGCCGGTGTGTGAGGGTGTCGGGCTGTCGCCTGAGCTGTGTGTAGTGAAAGGTGTCCCGGTGGAGGTTCATGTTCCGCCCCCGCCTGTGGATGTGTTACCGGCTCCCGGGGACGCGGGTTCTGCCGTTTTGGAGGGGGTGCTTCGTGGTGAGGTGCCTGCCGTGCCTGAGTGTGTTGCCTCCTGTAGTTCTGCTCTTCCCATTCCTTTGCAGAAGCGCGCGCGTCGGTGTTCTGAGGCTGTTTCCGTGGATGATGTAGACAGTGTGGGTGATGTGGCCTCTGTGGACTCTTCGGACGGTGCGGGTGTGGCCTGTGTGGATATGACGGTGGAGGCTGTGCCTGCGGCGGGGCCTGCTGGGCGTGGTGTGGTGCGGCCTGTCTCGAAGCGTTCGCGGCGGGCTCGGAGTGTCTCCCCCCTTCGTGGTGTGCCTTGGGAGGAGGTGGGGGAGTATGGTGCTCAGCTGGCGTCCCCCGCCGAGGATGATGGTGCTGTGAGGGGCTCCGACGTTGCTCCCTGTGCCCCCCCTCCTGCGTCTCCTGCTGTTGGGTCCCCGCAGTGGGGGGTTGTCCCTGATGGTCGGGACCTCGTCGTGAAGTTGCGGAAAGATGTGCGCCAGGGAGCCTCGGCTCCTGTGCCCTGTGGTGGGGTCGCTGCCGCGCCTGCAGTTCCCCCTCCTTCCTTGCCCCGGTCTGGGGGTTGCCTAGTCCCGTCTGCTGGGGTCGTGCCCTGTGAGGGTCCGGAGTTGGGCCCTTATCGGGATGCCCGGGTGCTTCCGATCCCGTGGTGCTCGTCAACCATCTGGGTGTCGTCAAAGAAGGAGTTTGTTTATAGGGTGCCGGATAGGATGTCTCAGCCGAGGGTACAGCCTGATGGCCGGCTGCCCGCCGACCTGTGGGTGGTTTGGGAAGCGTACCGCTTGCGCTTTCCGTACCGTAAGTTTCCGGAGAAATATTAGTTCCCGTCTTGCGCGCACCGCTACGCCGTGCCTGGATCAGCTGCCACCGTGACCATGACGCCCCGCCCCCCGGTGCGGGGAGTCTCCCTCTGACGTTCGCCTCTGTTTTCGTCGCCACTCCTCTCTCTACGGCCCATCACGTCTACCGCTTTTGACTTTCTTCTCCTCTTTACCATCAACGCGTCTCCTTACATCTGTCCTGGTGCAGTCATCGGGAGGGTTACCCCTTCATGCAAACTGCACCTATTCTCAAGAAGAAGAAGAAAGTTCCAAGAACTGCCAAAACGTCTAATCTACGAGAGGAGTTGTCCCTCCCCAGTGTTAAAAGCAGAATTAAGGAACCGAATGCTAAGCTTGCAATTAGGATAGCCAGAGATCCCCATTACAATGATATTGCGAAGAAAAAACTGAGTTCTGTGTTATTTACAGGGGGAAACAGGAGAAGCAAAAAATGTCATCATATCAGTCTGCTACCTTGAAGAGCTTCACCTGCTTGAGCAAGCCCGTGAGCTCCTGCCTGTAGAGAGGTTACCTCCCTGGGAGGATGACTCGTGCAAGATTATCATCAATGAAATGGCAACGAAAAAGTCCAACATGATACACAAGAAATGAGGCACAAGTATCTCAAGGAAATTTATAAAGAAGCCGATGAACTAGATCAAATCTACACTGACGGGTCATCTAATCCTGTCAATGGTGCAGCATACACGGTAATTAAGGATAATACTTTCCAACGCAGAAACGAAGAAAAAGCACGTATTGAGAACTATGCCACATTAACGCAAGCAGAGCTAACTGCCATTGTTATGGCATTAAGGTTCCTTGAACGAAACACTAATGGTGCAGTGATTTGCACTGATTCAAAAGCAGCACTGCAAAGCCTAAGTAAAAATCGGGCAGAAAATCTTGCAATAGTCGCTTAAATTATGAGAGCTGTGAGGATACTACCCAATCAGGGAAGAGTCGTCAAGTTTCTGTGGATCTCCTCCCATGTTGGAATATGTGGGAATGAACGAGCAGATGTGCTGGCTGCTGAAGGAGACCATATTGAATACTTCATACCCAAGACTACTACAAATTAGAGGTATTGTCAGGCAACATCACCGTGACAATGTAACTGAGGAAAGGAGGATAGAAGCACAAACCAGTGAATCTGTACGATGGTACAACATGGTTGCAGTTGGCAATCCCAATCATTATGGACGAAGAGGAGGACGAGGGAGAGAATCAGTAATAGCGAAAATCCATCTTGGATACAAATATCCATGGAGATTCGGAATGGAAACAACAGCTGATCAGCGGAGTTGCAGAATCTGTGATGATCCACAGAATCTCTAGGTGAGTGCTAGAGATTTAGCACTCACCTAGAAAGTACTCAAGCATTAAGCAACTGCCATAGGCTCCATCCTACTGAAGGTCAGGCTTACTGTACCCAGCAACGGTAACCAGTTACCGCTAGATTAAATACTATTGGTTGCTCTGTCATATCTAGTACAGTGGCCTGTTAGCTCAGTTGGTTAGAGCGCCGTGCTAATAACGCGGATGTCGTGGGTTCGATCCCCATACGGGCCAGAACATACCTTTTTGTGTAAAGCTTGATTTTCATCAAAAATGTGGT